TCCGTTTTACGGGCCGCAGTCCGACTACAGAGGATTGATCGCCGACACCCGCTAGTCGCGCGGCTCTCCCAGCAGGGACAGCAACAGACGAGACTACAACGGACGGCTGAACTTCTGCCAAGATGCGGAAGACCAACGTTCCTCCAATCACAGTACCTGCCAAGCTCACAGGATCAGATAGTAGTTCAATGCAAAGAAGAGGCTGCGAAAGCTTTCGAGCGCTGGCTAAAGACAGTACCGGAAAGCCATATGATCGTCTTCTCGGACGGCTCCAGGGCGACGAACGGAGCCGTGGGGTACGGCTTCGTCATCTACCGAGACTCCAAACGCATAGCGCAAGGGTGCGGCCGACTCGGACTAGCAGAAGTGTTCGACGCCGAGGTCGAAGGGGCGCGAACCGGCCTCAGAAGGGCTCTGCTCACCAATCGCGGTCATCCAATCCACATATGTATCGACAACACCAGCGTTATACAAGGCATCCGCGGCAAGGCGCCGGACTCGTCACAAGACGCGTTCCTCGAAATCCAAGAAGCGGCCAGGATATTTGATATACGGACGCACTGGTCCCCGGGACACCAGGGCATCGAAGGAAACGAGGCCGCGGACCGGCTGGCCAAAGAAGGAACGACACTGCCGGCGCGGATGGGTCAAATGGCAACACTAGCGGGCATCAAGCGGCTTGCAAGGGAAAAATTACAAAGCCAGCACAGGAGATGGTGGTATAAAGAGCGAAGGCCGCGGTACGCGGACTTGGGGCTTGAGGCAGCTCTGTCCAGCCCTCCTGAACTGGCCTTGCCGCGGGCTACGTTACATCACCTGCTGGCGGCACGATCGGGTCACGGGGACTTCGAGCAATATCACCGACGTTTCAACCACGACGACGCTCTAATGATGTGCTCTTGTGGAGAGGCGAAAGACGTGGACCACCTGGTCTACTGTCGACTAACGCTGGCGAGGAGGCAACGGTGGCCGACCCTCCACTCTCGCAGTATGCCCGAGCCCATAGGTCCTATGGGATCTCTCGAGGCCTACTTCAAGAGATTAATCACCGACCCACGAGGCTTCGAGGCCTTTCTCCGCGTGACGGACTTCTTCCAGAAGATCTGTCTGCGGTAGCAGCATCCACACCTAGGTAGATGTGAGTGCGGACTACAAAGAACCTCCCGATTCCAAGGGACGATTTGGGAAAGAATGAAACTGGGGCACCAGCGGGAACCGGGGACAGACAGAACGCGTAGTGGCCACAAGGCATGATTTGGAGGACGATGTAAAGAGACGACGTACTGTAGAGTAGGTAGCCTTGGCTCACGGCCCTCCACGCCATATACCCTTCGGGAGGTCTGCGGTAAGGGCTCTAGCCCGGCCGCCACGGCGTTAAATACAACAACAACAACAACAACTACAGGGCTCTGGTTCTTCCACACCAAAATTTCCTGTCCAGGCTTGTACGCGAGAAGGGGCTTCTCGGTCTCATCGGAGATGCCGACTTTCTCAAATCCGTCTTCCAAGACCTCATCATCGACGGTTGCCTAGCGATTCAACGAACGATTAGCAGAATTCTAAGGTATCTGATGGATCTAGTCTCACGCTGTGGGGCCTCGCCAAAGTTGTGGTTTGGTATGTCGCTGTCGATGTTGTTTTGATTGAAATTTCCTCGAGGGTCAAGAGATGCTTCTTGGCCGAAGAAGAACCAGGCAGAGAGGATATTTCTCTGCCTTGTCGATTGAAGAAACTATCCCACAGGCACCGTGGGCACTGATGATGCCTCTGCCTCCCGCCGATGGAGCAAGGGGAGGCATGTCATCTGGGAGCCTCAGGTGACGAGCGCACCCGGAGATTCCATCTGACCCATTCAGGCTATTTGTTGAGTTTGTAAGACTCACAATCAACAAACCGTCTTGTGTGCGAGAGTCTTAGGCCACTTTTCAGAACTGGCTTACGAGGCAGAAAATGGTCGGTCGACTTCTTTGCCCTTTCTGGTGGAAAGTTTGCTGTCATTGGGTCCAAGCGAGGAGATGTTGACGGCAGGAAAAGAGTCCGAGAGATCGGTGAAATATCCTGTGAATTCTAATTTAGAGGGTATGCTCGTTTTTCCTGATAAGAATAACTAACCATTGCTTCGAGCAAACTTCTTTGTAGCACTTGGTTGCTTCGAGCACATTCCTTTGTAGCGTTTCATCGCTTTGCTGGGATCGTGTTGTCCGAGGTAGATGGTCTAGTGTATGAGAAGATAGAGTCGAAATCGTAGTGACTGTTGCCCAGACTGAAACGGGGATGGAAGAGAAAGTTACACTGGAACTGTGTGACGGATCAACTTCCGTCCGATTTGAGCTACCTTACGGACAAAGAAGGAAGTTCCCCTTAGTGAGTGCCTCAGGCGGCAAGCTATCGAGTATTCACCTCAACACTTGTCTGTCACAACACAAAGGCAATAGTCATATTGTAGGAGAGAGGAGCTCGGGATGCTGTTATTTGACTTGATTCTTTGACTTTAATCACGCACCAGCAGAGCTGATCTGTCTATCTATGCCTAATTATACCACACACTTCCAAGTATCAGGATCTTTGTAGTCGCCAACGCCTTGGTACACATTGTGGTACGGCCACCTGCAATGTCTGCGTCTGAAATCAACACCACTATCCCTGGTATCATTGTTGTACCTGGTTCCCATGATGGTGTCAGGGGCGACTTCGCTCTCGACCCATCGAACCATCGCCATCAGCACATTTTCTTCCGGGGCCATACTGGCAGTGCTTGCTGACTGGTGGCCAATAAAGGTCGCCCCATTACCGCTGCCGCAATGTGACATGCCAGAGATACGGAAGAATCGGTAAAATTCGTCAAGAGCCTCCGAGTTCATTCCCATGGTTTGCGACACGTGTTCGTAATAGCGAGGGGAATTCTCACTCGACAGAACACCATCGGCTAAACCGTGCCAGTGAAGAAGCTTACCGCCGCGGTTTTGGAAAGCCGATAGATCACCGTTCCAGGTGTCGATATTGAAGTGGTTGAGGCCGGAAGCAACAGTGTAGTCCTCGGGACGTAGGGTCATGGCATCCCAGTTTGAGTCGTTGAAAATGGCATAACGCCACCAGTCTGACACAGGTGAGACTGCTCCGGAAAAGTAACTGTCCACCGCTCCGGTGAACTCCGATCCGAGCTGCATCTTGGGGTAGACCAGACTTCCGGCCGCATCTAGCACAGGTGAGTAAATGCTCTTGAGTGTCTCAAGTTGTGTGCCTGTGAGGCAGCCAGTGCTTTCAGCTTCAGTGCATAAGAGGCCGTCGGGGTTGTAATCGCAGAGATTAGGTGAGTCCAAAATACCATCTGCAACGCCATCAAGCTGATCGCACTGATCCAGAATGTTCTGATGAATGGTAGGCCACATATCCAGAGGAATGAACGTCGCAGATTCGGGCGTCCCAAGAAGGGGATGAAACTGAGTGGCCCACGACGTCAGGTTGTTCCAGGCGATAGCAGGCGCTCCGACAACGACACCATCAAACAGGTCAGGGAAAGACTGGACTGCCTTCAATCCTTGGCGTCCGCCAGTGGAGCACCCAAGGTAGTAGCTCTTATCATGGGCCTCTCCGTAAAACTCTCGAGTGATTTCCTTGCCGACGACAACACCATTTTGGATAGAGCGGTAGGCAAAGTCCTGAATGACGTCGAGATTGTGGAGAAAGGGGGCTCCAGTGTACCCCTGATGTCCATTGTTCGTCGCGATGGTTGCGAATCCGAGAGAGGCACCATATTCGACGTCGTAGTACTGGATACAGCCGCCCAGTCCGCCGTTTCCCGTCGCAAGGAATCTGCCGGACCAGTCCTCGGGTAGCCATGCCTCAAACCAGAATCCGGAACGGTTCGAGGTAGGGACTTGAGCTGTGATGCGGCAGAGATTGACTTTTACAGACTGGGTGAAGATGCCACACGTGGTATCGGCTTCCGTGAGAGCGAGTTCTGTTCCAGACGTGATGTACTCTGTCGTGAAATTGACACCACCAACCGAAGACGCGAAGGACTCGCAGTGCTGCTGGAAGTCTGCCATACCATTGACGAGTTGAACCAAGAGACCTGTATGAGCTAACAAGCCCAAAACGCTTGGTTTGACCATCGCTACGCCTGTTAGGTAAAATGTAGCGAGTTTGAGACAGTGTACCTTCAGCTGTAGCCGCGGTGGCAGATGAAAAGACTGAAGAAGTGAGACGCCGGGGGTGGAGATGAAGCTACTCCATGAGAACTGAATCAATTGTATTTTAATGAAGCAGAGCAGCTTATATAGACAATATCCGGCCACTGACTTCAGAAGAGGTGCATGCCAAGCATCTGCTCATCTCCATAATGGGTGGAGTTAATCAAGAAAGTCAGGAACCACAACGTGCGCAAGTTTCCATCGGTATATCCGCTGAGGCTACATGCATTACTGCCAGCTGCCGGGGTTACCGGACCTGCCTGTCAAAGCTGGTTGAAGCCTCGAATAGGTTTGAGGCCCTGTCATTGGCAATGATGGTGGCTGCACTCGGCCGAGAACGGCGATGATCTCAGCCCCTCCGGGTCATCGAACCTATGGCAAGAATAGAGGGAATTCAGTCCAATGCTACTATGCTTCATCTTATTTCCAGAACAAGTATGGGGCAGAACAAGTATGAGGTGAAAGGATAAGAGAGCACGTATTCTCGTAGTCTAGGAACCTTGCATAAAAATCGACAAGACATTGTAATAACTTAGTTAGGTCATACGATGCTTTTGTTTGGTTCGAAAAGGTGCTCCGGACCAGCATCCGTTTTGTCATGGGCTGTCCTTACTGTTGGTGTACATCAGGTCAACTGGCCATAAATCGAATTTCTGCAGACTGTAAGCGGCCTTGCAGGAAGCTAGTCTTCTCAAACATTGTGCCCAGGATCAATGTTAGACTTCCTGTATATGAAGTGCTGAAAGATGACTAGATTCTGACCAAGAAGTCGGAGTGATGTTGCTGGCTTATGACTAAGTACCTCCGAGGGGACAATTGCCTCTTTGAGTAGTTGCCAATGGTTATCGTTGCCGGTTGTCACTTGACGGAGTGCTCAGGAATTTCGAGTGTAAGGACTCGCCCCTGTCCCGCTCACTGCGATGCGTCTAGTGGGTCGTTTAACAAGCAAGGTTAATTTGAGTCTGGGTCATCAAGTCCGAGCTTATGTCCGTTACGTAGACCACAAGCGTGCTGACATACTACTGAACAGGACTATCTTAGTAGGATGGTGTCCAACATCGAAGCCATACTTTTTGGCAAGTGTACATGTACTTACGATGGTACTTTGGAATGGTTCGATCGTGCAAGCTGTAAACCATATTCAGCAAAGCTCAGCAACTATTCACAGAAGCGAGAGACACCATTGCCGATATTTATACTTGACTTAATACTCAACTCGTATGAGCCCAGATGTGCCTCCTACAATCCCGAAGTAGCTTGAGAAAGAGCCAGAGAAAGGAAGACATCAACCCGGACAGGAGAACGAGAGGGTCTCTCATGGACTCATGGCTACGGGAGTTCAGGTGTGATCTACTTACTGAATGATACCTTGGGATCTCCAAGTCGGCCCGAAGATGCGTCCATATCTACTGAATGGAATGTTCTCTTTGGGTCTCCCAGGGTAGACACAATTAAGCCCACATGGCTGATGTATCAAGAGGCAAGGAGCTTCGGGCCTTTCCCCGAGACCCCGCGCAGGAATAAGATGCGAGAGCGAGTGTGGATCGCGGTGAATATGGAACTTGGGTCACGTGACGGGTAGTGAGGCTTCAAATGATTGAAGCCATCACGACAATAAGTAATGACAAAATTATGCAGGGAGCAAGATACAAGTAAGCTTTTGAACACCACTATTGTACCATTTCTTTCGTACTAATGGGCGTTTGTCAGAATTTACTTACTCTGTTAGTCCACGCAGAGAAACAATAGAATGAAATTGAACACTTGATACCAGTTGGTCGCAAATGATCTACGTTTCCAACTCCTCTCACTCGGCAGCCTTTGTGTGGTATGACTAAGCTTGTAGCGCATTCCATGTAGAAAACTAGCTTAGCATGGCTGTTTTTGATGGGGGGAATCTGAGGATGTGGCTATGCAGTCAATTGGGCGGGGCTGTGCTGTGATGCTTGCGTACCCGGGCTGATCAAGTAATGTTTTTCCTCGATGGTCGTATTGATGAAATACTTTCGGCTCATCTACTCTTAATGCATGGATAGGATGACATCTTAGAAGTAAAAACGCAACATGTTCTGGAGAAGACGCACATTCACGAATCGCGAATGCTGACAGCAGAAAAGGGGGTGCTGACTGGGATTAAGAGCTCCGCGCGTTCCACGGGGAACGGTGATCTGTGAGAATCGCCCGCGCGACGACAGCATGGTTCGAGAAACTCGCGCCTCGGCGCGTCACAACGATTCGAGCGACACCGGAAGCACAGTCGCGGACACCGCCAGGGCCCAAGAGACTCGCCGCTCTCACAAGAAGTCTCGGAATGGATGCGCAGAGTGCAAGCGACGTCACATTCGCTGCGACGAGCGTCAGCCCTCATGCGCGAATTGCGAGGTCGCAGAGCGCGCGTGTTTCTTCCCGCCGCCAAAAGTGAGCAAGCAGAAGCGTAGACAAGCGCAATCTCAATCGCAAGGCGAGAGGTCACAGGGCACATTGGAACGGAACGCCCGATCACCAGGCTCCAGAGGAAGTAGTCATGGCAATACAAGCAATGACGCGAATGCGCCGATTGAGCGCGCACAGCTGCCCTCACAACCAGCTCTTCATCAACAAAGCAACACATCCGTGGTCACTCATGCGCCAAGCCATCCGTCTCATAGCCTGCCATCGAGGCCTGCAGACGTGCCAGCCGCGGTTGGTCTCGGCCTCAGTTCTCACCAGAGTGACCAGACTCTGTCTCCAGCTTCGACGACGCAGCTGAGCAGCGCCCAAGCTCCTCCATCTCTAGACTGCCAGCTCGGCTTGTCAATGTTAGGCACACCAAACGCACCCTCAGAGGCCATCTACACACCACAGCACATGGTCCTGCTACACCATGCGGCCGCAGTACCACACTTCACCGGCCCAGCCCGAAGCGCCCTCGACGTCGCCGTCCGACGCGCCGTTGACTCACCCTACCTCCTCGACGAGATCCTCGCCTTCACAGCCTTCCACATGGTCCAGCTCTACCCCGGATCATCCACCCACCTCCGCGACCTCGCCACAGAGCTCCAGAACCGCGCTCTCTCATCCTTTACCCGCCTCACGGAAACAGTAGCCAGAGACGACAAGGCCACCGCCGTCCCTCGATTCCTCTTCTCCGCCATCCTAGGCAGGCATGTCCTCGCCGACACCCTCGCTCACTACCGCTCCGACTTCAAGTCCTTCATCGATCGTCTCGTCGAGTGCTTCAACCTCAACCGCGGCGTCAACTCCGTCACCCCGCCGGCCCGGAACTTCCTCCAAAACACCGAGCTTCAGCCCGTCCTCAACGTCATCCTCGAGGCCGAGAAAAGGATGAGCACGAGGGGCGACGAATGTGAGTCTCTGAAACGGCTCTTAAACGACTCCGACCTGAGTGAATCGAGCGCGAGAGCGTGTCACGAAGTCATTGGGCTTTTGCAGTGGTGCTTTGACATTTGCCGCGTTCTCGACGAAGGAGACTATGCCCAGGCGGCTTCGACGTTCTCGGTAAAGGTACCAGTTGGCTTCGTCGATATGTTGCGAAAGCATCGCCCCGAGGCCCTTATCATTCTCGCCCACTATGGCGTGTTACTACACCGCTGTCGCGGCTTTTGGCCCTTTGCCGACGCTGGTGCCTTCATTGTCCGCGCCGTTGCCAGGCATTTGGGTAATTACTGGCAAGGGGCTCTCTCGTGGCCTCTCCTGGTGCTTGAAACGGAGCCGTAAGCCTTTGTATACCGATTTGCGTCACTTCACAATGACTGAAATGGGAACACGAACCAAGCGAGCAAGGTATCTACGAGGAAATCATCTCAGTAAGGCTGTATGTAAATGGCAAAGTCTACACCAAGCTGGGGCACTGCCTCAGATTCATGTCTACATGTATCCCAGCATCCTGGTCGCCCCGAACCGGGTGTCCATCTGTTAACCCAGTTACGGAAAAGCAGCCTTGTTCGCCTCCAAGAACTCCTTCCAAGTCGTCGCCTTCAGCCCAACGCCAGCCAAAAGCTCTTGACTCTCCTTCAAGTCCTTGCCGAGATAGTAACCCGGCTCGTCAATGAATAGGTGGTTCTCGAGCATCTCGTCCGCCATGGCAGCCATCGGCCCAGCGAAGAAACTCTTGTACGTCGCAGCGTCGACGGGTACGAAACGCGCCGTCTTGCCAGTGACCTGCTCAAACTCGGCAATGATGCGAGTGGGCGTGTAGTAGTCCTCGGCTGCCAAGATCTGCTTTCCGAGAACGGTGCTCTCATTGCGGATTGCCGCGACGACGTACTTGCCTGCAAAATTGAAGGATCAGCATTGAACTAGGCGTTCCTAGGAAGTACTCACCAATATCGGACTCGGTGTCGATGAGAGGGAACTTGGCCTTGTCGCTGACGGGGTACGCCAGGTTATATATCCCGTCCTCGCCCTTGCGGATCATCTGCAAGGCAGAGAAGTTGTTCATGAAGTACCCCGGCAGGACAAAGGAGCTGGGGATGCCCTTGGCGCGAATGTAGCGCTCGACCTCGGCCTTGTCGTCAAAGTGAACGACGTGCTTGAGGCGGCCGTTGGTGGTCTCGGTGACGTGCAGCAGGGACGAGTAGATGAGGTGCTTGACGCCGGTCTCGGCCGCGACGTCTGCCACGTTCTTACCGTGGGCTTGCTCTTCGCTGGCGCCGCCCGTAAAGTTGGGCGTGGTCATGAAGAAGACGGCGTGGGAGCCCTTGATCGCCTCGGTAAGAGAGGTCTTTGAGTTCATGTCGGCCTATTTCTAAGTTAGCACTCTATGAGTTCGATGCCAAGCGTGAGGGGGTGGCAGAGGAATGGCCATACAGAAACGACTTCGACACCCTTGCCAGCCAGAGCTTGAGCTGCAGGCTTGGAGACATCCCGAGTGATGCCGCGAATCTTGAACTCCTTTGACAGAATCGCATCGGCGAGGGCTGCCTTCACGACGGAGCCGCCCTGGTTGCCAGTGGCTCCGAAAATGGTGAGAATTTTGGACATTTTGTAGATACACGATGGGTGTCGTTGGGTTGGGTCTGGTGGTTGGTTCGAGTCGGAAGAGATCACGTTTTCAGTCTGTGGTACATGAGCAGGAAGCTAGAAATGCACGCGAGCATAGCTCTACTTTATACGTCGGATTCCCAGTTGCGTACAGTACGTATCTTTGTCATGTTGCTACATGTACACATGTCTTGCCTTCAGCGAGCCTATGCAAGCATGGTATGGATCAAGCAGCTGCGGCTTGGCTTTGCGGATCGTCCCACGATGTGGGCCTTTCGAAGACGGGATTCCCGACTTACAAACGCTCTTCCACGACGACCGGACTTTCAGTTGTAGGCCGGAATCTCATCAAGTTCATTTTTGATATGATAAGCAGATCAGCATGCTGCCGGGTCTGGAGCATACTTTCGGAGAGAGGAGACTAGTTGCCCTGGCTAGGGCGGTCTCAAGTGCGACTCGGTCTTCATCGGAGACCGGTGTCACGTGCGTTGACCCTGTGTGAAGAACTCGACTTTCGATACCCTGATTCTGTTTCCAAGTCTTCTACTACTTTCTGCTGCTTCCATGATATATTTACCAAGTATGCTTAACAGATGCTCCAGGTATAGGCCCTTCCTCTCATCTTCCAAGCAGGCTTTAGTACTCACCTACGTAAACCTCAGTATAGTTGAACTCTATAACGGAATTTAAAGTGGTATAGATAGAACAGCCGCGTCTCATTTGATGCAATTACTAGCTTCAAGACGTTTGGCCAATTGCACGGCACACATGCATCCTTTTCTGAGGCATCACGAGATTTCTGGTGTCACTGGCTTTCGGAGACGATCGTGAATGAGCATATAAGTAGGATCAGGTCATCTTCGACAGCCGACAGTGATCCCTCTAAAGTCTGGACCAATAAGTGAAATATACTCTGTCGATTCCTATGATCTATTATTTTTCAAACCTATGATCTATACCAAAGGCTTCACTTTAATTATTACAAACATAAGCCGTACTACAAAACCTATTACATACTTCGGACCGGGACATATAACCGGAGTCTAAATACCCTCATCATGCCTGAATACGACTCGCGTACTCGCTCTCCGTCTTCAGCCAAGTCTCAAAGTCCTTCAGCCCAGGATACTCCTTTCTCAGCGCCGCAATATCCACATCATACCCAACATCGTAAAACCACTTGAACATGTACCCAAAGTCCTTCACCATCGTCATGATCAGCCAACACAAGATCCTATACGTCCCAGGTAGTTCCTTGCCCGTATTGCTCTTGAACACCGCAGCAAACTGCTCAATCGTCATATCATCCCCAGCAAGCGAGACCCCACGGCCCTTGTACGCCTCCGGGTGAAGAAACGCCTCTGCCCCAAAGTAGCCAATGTCGCTGACGGCGATGAGCTGAAGCGGCTTCCCCTTCAGCGCCATCCGCCACGACGTGGTAAATACTTTCCCAAAGAAGTTGTCTGTGAGGTTGTCCATGAAGGCCACGGGGCGGAGGACGGCCCACTCCATGTCGGTGCCCTTGGACTTGTTGAAGAGGTGCTGCTCGATCTCGTGCTTGTGGGCGAAATGCGGCACGTTCGTCGCGTTGTCTGCGCCGTGACGCTCGACGGAGGTGTAGACGAAGAATTTAACGCCGGCTTTGAGGGATGCGTCGACGAGGGCCTTGCCTTGGCCTAGTTCGCCGCCTCCGCCTTGACCGAAGCCCATAGGGACCTGAAGCGCACATTAATATCAAGCGTTATTGTCGCAAAAGGGAAAGGAATTTCAGATATTGAAGTGTTGTGAGTTTTGTAGTTACCTGAACACTGAAGACTCCCCAAATAGGAGACGAGGCGACATCTTGCGCAGTCTTGAAAAGCGCAGTCGGGTCCGCCAAGTTACCCTGCACAAGACGAATTTTGGACGACTTTTTCAAGAGACGCTGGGCGGATCCGGAGGTTGCGTCGCGGGTAACAGCGAGGATCTCAAAGTCGGCATTCTGTTCGACGAGGTGGTTGATGACTGCGCCGCCCTGCTTTCCAGTCGCGCCGCAAACCAAAATTGCTTGTGCCATTGTCGATGTTGTTGTCTGATTAGGGAAATAGTTGAGATGATGAAGTGTAGACACCGAAGCCAGTGATAAACATATAAAATGAACCTTCGAAATTCGAGATATCAACTCATGTCAAATACCTTCATTCTCCACGATGCAGCGGAGTTTCACAATCATCGCGACGCGCCCGATAGAAAAGTCCGCGGCTAAGAACATCACGATCTTCCTAGGAGGATCGGAGTGGTGACGCTTGCGAGCATGCGGCATGCGGCGTTGGAAAGCCACTGGGGAAAGATGACCAATCGTGCGGCGTATGTTCCTCCGATAAGACAAGAACCGGGGCCGAGACCTTTCCCCCCCCCCTGGCTGGCGTGGTGTGCTGTGGGCCTCGCCCTCCGACGAACGCCGAGTCGGAGCGCGAAAGTGGGTCTCACAAACGGCCCGAAGCGGGGGGAAAGGTGTCCGGCTTACCTAACTGTTGTAGTTTCCTGGAGAACCTTGATGTCTAAGCATTTGGACTCTCTCTGTGTTGTTTGTGGGCAAGGAGGCAACATCTCTTTTTTGTTTGTTAACATCAAGAATGTCTAAGAATACGTGACAAAGAAGGCGGACATGGGCCATTGTCCTCGACTTAGAGGTCGTTCACGTCTCCTTCGGCCTAATCATTTCGCCCTTTTTTAAGTATGCAGATTTTCAAAACATTTCACAAATACCATAACTTCCATTACTGAGCTTAGCGGTCGAATTCTCATGACCCAGAACTGAAGAGCCGGAGCGCGAGCTTCCACAGACAGTACAAATCTCGACCGCGCCGGCTCCCGATCGGGCGAAATAAGATCCCTGATACGGCATGCCACTTGCATCCTTAAGACCACAAACTGACATCACCAACTCTCGATTACCCGCATCCGAGGGACCCTCCATCTTAACGACTGGAAACAAAATAGGGACCTTGCGCGCATGGAACAACAAGAGCTTCATCCGGTTAATGCTCATTCGATCCTCAAGCCAAACTCAGGACTCATTTGAGTTTTTTCCCACAAGTTCGAGCACCGAAATTCCTCATTAACGTTTGTCATCCCTCTCGGCAAAACATCAGGCCAAGAACACAAAGTAAAACCGCGACTATGAATAGAATTTCATTTGATGTCTCAGCAAGCAAAACTCTGCCAAAGTTTGCTCACGAAAGAGGTTTCCTGCTTGAGCCGGCTGGGTCAGGAATACAGTCCCGCTATGATTGAAATACCCCTTTCCAGCTGTAGCGATGGAAACTCACATGCTCGCCTCTCAACGTCGCATCCGGAGCGCGATGTCACCGAGCGAAACAGAGAGAAGAAAAACGAGATAGAGAGAATGACGAGCAACAAGCTACGGGTTATAGTCATAGGCGGCGGCATAGCAGGCCTCTCCGCCGCCGCCGTCCTTCGCCAAAAACACGACGTGATAGTCTACGACCGCGATGATCCGACCTCATCCTCCTCCTCCTCCGCCTCCGCCTCCGCCCGGGAACGCGGCGCCGGCATCGGCCTCGGTCCGAACGGCACGAAGATGCTCAAAAAGGCCTTTCAATTCAGCCCCGAAAACGTGAAGGCTACAATCTGCGCCGGCTCGAGGACGTACGACAAGCAAGGGAACCTACTACGGGAGATGACCGGCGTATCGGAGCCGTTTGGGAGCGAGTGGCTGCTGATGCACCGCGGCGACTTGCGGGACGAGTTGTTGCGGCTTGCGACGGGGGACGCGGCCAAGTTGGGGATTTCTGGACCGCCGGCTAGGGTTTTGGAGGGGGTTCAGGTTATTGGTGTTGATGTTGAGGAGGGGAAGGTGAAGTTGAAGGATGGGGAGGAGGTTACGGCGGATGTGATTGTTGGTAAGACTACATTTTCACATCAGGACTTTAACACACGATCCAGGGATTGACGGACACCTATCTCAGGCGCAGATGGCATCCACTCCCTCGTCCGACAACCTGTCATCGGCGGGCCATCTCACATGGTATCACCGGGTGCCTCACTCTACCGCTTCACGTTCCCGCTTGAGAAGGCGAGGGATATCCTGGAAGGGTACCCGGCGGCGATGGACCCGTCCAACAGCAACTTCCTCAACATGATGACGGCCGACGACGAGACGCACCGCAACATCATCTTTTATCCCTGCCGAGATAGGACGCTGCTCAACGTCGTGGCGAGGATCCCCGACGCCATGCTCTCGGTGGAGAGCATCGCGTCCTGGAACGCCGAGGGGAGTGCGGAGGAGATGTTGGATCACTTTTTCGACTTTGCGCCGTGGATGCTGGAGATTATGAAGTGAGTTTCATCCCCCCCGCCCCTTTACCTCGTCATAACCGCCAACCACACAAAGAAGAGAGACACGCTCACATTCCAAACTATCAAGAAACGCCCAGAATATCCACCTCTACAAAGTCAAAGACGCAGACCCGCTCCCAACCTACACCCGCGGCCGCGCCGTCCTCGTCGGCGACGCGGCACACCCGATGACGCCGTTCCAAGGCCAGGGCGCGACGCAGGCCATCGAGGACGCGGAGGGTCTGCGGCTGCTCCTCCACGAGGGTGTCAGCGCCGACAATCCGGAGAACATCACGTCGGCGCTGCGGACGTGGGACTCGGTGCGCAGGCCGCGGGCGTCTCAGGTGCAGCAGAACTCGAGGTATGTGACGGATATGTCGGCGCAGGCGCAGCTGGATCGGATGAGGTTGAATTGGACGTATAACGGGATCCACGCTGCGTTGAGAAATCGGTAGACGGCGGGGACTGCCTGTGCACACAGAGAGAATGGGGGAGGTTCATGTCGAGATGGGTAGGGTGAGTTTGGGTATGGACTACCTACCTCCCTGACTATCTCCCCACTGTGTAATGGGACTAATTACTTGATGGATGGATCAAGAAGGAGCATAGGAAGTCGAGAGCAGACGGCTGGTTCCGCAACAGCTCAGGGTCTTACGCTACTACAGATCTTGTCAGGGGGACTAATGTTTTGATATCCCCACCCGTAAGGTACCTTACATCATCAACATTGATGAATCATCGACCTAGCCTAATGCATCATTGGGCGAGTTCTTGCGATGGAATGCAGAAACCTGTGCCTGGACCATAGAATTACACAAGCTTTGAGACCGTCTGATGCTGGTAGTGAGATGAACGCACCTACCTCCCTACAAAGGGGCCCCGGAAGGGTGCATCATCGACATCATCGCTCGTCATAACCGAGCACCTCCAAAACGCCATGTCGCGCCACGGTCATATAACACCGCAAATCCACATTGCCGTCCAAGGGACGCAAAACCAAGCATCCGCCATACCTAGTATCTGAAGAATCATCGCGAAGTTCAAATACCTACAAGTCTTATCATCTGCGGTATACAACTACCCTCCATACGCCGCACAAACACAGTCAAATTGTCCAACATGTCATCATCAAGAGCTCTCCGCCTTCAATCGACCCTCCGAAACCCCACCCTCCGCACCTCCGCACAACTCGCACCGCGCCGGGGCTACGCCGTCAAGGAGCCCCCAGCACCAAACCCCATCAACCCGAGCGGTTCAGCGCCGTCGCGCCCTACTCCGTCCTCATCAAACCCCAAAGTCGGAACCAAGCCAGATGAAATAAGCAACAGGTAAAGCTTCCCCTAATCTCACATGACTGCTTCACCTCAATCCATTCCTTGGTGTTCATGTAACTAACGCAATCGGTCTCACAGAAGTGCACTCTACCTCGTCCTCGGCGCCGCAGCAGCCCTGGGCGGTACCTTCGCTTTCCTGACCGGCGCCCCAGACCGCGCAGCGGGCGTCGCGGACGCTGTCACTCGCGGCGGTGGACCGTCCATCACGCCCGGCCTGGGACCTAAACCCTCGAGCGAGCGGAATTTGGAGAACACGACGGGACGGGACGCGAATCGGCAGACGGGGTTGGCCGGGATAAAGAGCAAGCAGACAGATCCGAACCAGCTGCAGGCGAGCAATTAAGTATGGCCCGCTGAATGGGTCCAATTGATCGTTGTTAGGGTAGAAGGATACTCGAATTATGCGCAAAGCAGACTTGCAGTTGAAGTCACGTCAAAAATTGTCTCTTCACACAATTTCACACAATTTGATATTGCCCCTATCGCGAAGGTTTCTCTTGTGCATCGAGGTTACCTTCAACAGGCGTACCTACACCCAATCAATCACCATCCCTCCCGCGTGTAGCTCTCCCGTGGTCCCCGGGATTCGTGTATGCATGCATAATGCGGGGAAGAGTTACTACGAAGTTATTCCGGTTTCCGTCTTGCCCCGTCAAGTCTCGCCCCGGCCCCCTAATAAGGGTCTTTTCTGTACGTCTGATACTTTCCCAAACCACCGAACCCTGTCTTTTAACTGTGTAAGGAGTACTCCAACCTACGCATCGGAGATATCCAGCCTGTCAGCAACCTTGAATCCGAGCAGTGCGATGCGCGCGATGCGTAGGGTGGATTCGGGGACTATCAACACCCCGTCAACGTGCATCCTCATTCCGCCAGAGGAATTGGTTGCATCGCTGCAGGTCGTGCATATGTTCCTGTTGATATAGCATTGGCATATAAGGCACAGCAAGCCGCTCCGTACCCGCGTCGTCCTACCCTCCGTCGTTCTCGGTATCGGATTCTCTTTATGATGCAGGCGGTACGTCGATGCTTCATGCCCAGAGGCATTCAGTCTTTTATCACATCACTTATCGAAAGTCCACCAAACCGAGGACCTGCCTCAATCAATAGCTCGTGTATATAATGTGAATGGGAAATACTCGAAGTCATCTTGTTCCTCTTGGATCTGCTCTTTTCAAAATCTCATTCCCGTGAAAGATCTCGTAAAACACCTGTAAAACACCAATACATCGTCAACCTTCCTCCATCAGAGATCTGGAAAAATGTCCGCAGACTACACCTCAAAAACAGTCCTCATCACAGGCGCAGGCTCAGGCCTAGGCCTCTCCTTGACCCGCCACTTCCTCGCCGCCAACGCAACGGTCCTAGCCCTCGACATCTCCGACGCCTCCCTCGCCTCTCTCCCCTCCAAATTCGACGACGTCCCTGAACACCGCGCCCGTCTCCACCCCGTAAAAGCAGACATCACCGACCCGGCCTCCGTCTCCGCCGCCATCGCCTCCTGGGTTGACGTCAGAGAAGATGGTGCAGTAGACAAAGGTGAACGACGCCTCGACGTGCTGGTCAACAACGCCGGCATCTCGGACCTAATGCACCCCACGGCCGACTGTCCCATGGCCATGTGGGACCGCCAGATCCTCGTCAATATGACGGGCAGCTTCGTCACCTCGCAGCGCGCGATCCAGCAATTTCTTAAGCAGGAGCCCGTTGATGGACAGAGGGGCGTGATTTTGAATGTTATTAGTGCCGCGGGCGTTCACGGTGCGAGGGCAGGTGAGTTTCCATCTTTCCAATCTCATCTCGTCTCATCTCGTCCTATTCTATTTCACTCCAATCGCTCGCGATGTGCCCGAAAGAAAGGGTCGAAGGATCCATTCCATAAAACGAAGGCATCATGAGACAAGAAGTCTGTGTGGAATAGAACGTCCAGCTAACCACCCAAAACCACAACAAAGGCGTCGCCTACACAGCCTCCAAACACGGCACCGTCGGCCTGACGCGAAGCACGGCAGCCTTTTACGGCCCAAAGGGCATCCGGTGCCTGGCCATCATGCCCGGCCCGATGATGACAAACATGGCCAGGGACGAGGAACACATCAAAGAGTTCCATCCCGAAGGCCTCGCCATGGGTAAGACAGCACTTCCTCTCATAAACAGGCACTCTCTCTTTCCCATGCACACTGGTTACTAACAAATCTCCGTCAGTGGTGTCAACTTTCAATACCTGCCAAGGTGACCCTACCAAGGGCGGTTGGGATCTGGGATGGTCGCCGCTAGACCAGGTGTCAAAGACCGTGGTGAGCTTGTGTTCTGGTGGGATGAATACTATCAACGGCGCACTTGTGCCGACTGACATGGGTTGGACATCGCTCTAACCATGTCGTGTGATGAGATTGATCAACTGCCATATCCAGATCACTTAGTACTTGCACGTTTTTCACGATGTAGATACTGCAGAATTGCACATTGAACGGATAAGCCAGACTATTATAGGATATTGGTTGAAACCATTGCAATTGTGCTAAAGAAGAATTATTACTAAGGGACCGCATTATTAACCTTAGACCGTCTGTTGACCCAAGCTAAACTCTCCATCCGGGTATAAGCCTTTTCGTTTGCCGTCAACTCGTCATTTGATCCACGTCCGTCACAAAAGAGAAAAAATTAAAGTCCACACTCAGTATCCACTGACGTGGGCCGGGGTAGAAAGAGTGTTGACGGTGCCGTTAAGACCGCCGCTGGGGTGAGCGTCATAGCTGGAGGTAGGGTAGCCGGAAGTGGGAATGGTGTTTAAATCACCGCCGTTGACCTGGCCTGGAGCGTGAGGAGCATACTGGCCCTGCTGGGTAGGAAGGCCGTGCTTCTTGCGCTCAATGCGAGGGGCATCGGGGATATCGGTAGACTTGTTGGCCTTGCCAATGGCGAAGACCGGGCTCTCCCAGCGCTCACCCTTGCGAGCCAATTCCTTGTACTCGGTGGCCTTGGAGCTAATACCTCCAGGAAGGTGAATGTTGGGGAAGATGGAGTCCTCCTTGGTGATGGCGTAGTTGACCTTCTTGTCGGCAGTAACCTCATCCGCCTTCTGCTTGGCCTGAAGAGCGCGCTTCTGCATGGCGGTGGCGTAACGGTTGTAGATGTTGGGGGTGTTCTCGGGGTTGGAGCGGGCCTCGTCGAGGGCACGGTCAGCCTCCTGCTTAACCTGGTACATGATGCTGTCCAACTGAGTTGCCTGATCCTTGATGGCCTTCTCAACAGCCTTCTGAAGAGCCGGGCGGAGGACCTTGAGCATGATTGGCTTGAAGAGACCAAATAGAAGCTTGTGCTTAGACTGCTTCAGCTTGATGCTCATGTGCTTGATGTCAACATCAACCTTGTCGACCTTGAAGAAGTTCTGTCTGTCGCTCTTATCGGCAGAAGAAAGCTTCATCTTGAAAGAGAAGCCATCGCCAGCAAGAAGAATGTCAGCGACACCAGTGTCGGTGATAGAGGGGAAGCCCTGCTTGCGCTTGACGTGGTAGCTGACGTCGCGAAGATCAAGCTGAACACCGGCAACCTTCACCTCAAAGGATTGCTTGTGCTTGTTGGCGATCTTCTTGCGTCCCCACAAGAAGTAGTTCTCGCTGTTAATCTCGAGAACGTTGGGCATGAAGTTGTCGGACTCGAGGACAAGGTTCTCAATGACAGCATCGAACTGAGGGTCGCTGTACTCGATACGAGGGACCGGAAGATAGGCAACGTTCTCGAAGATACCAGGAATAATGACCTCCGACAGATCCTTCAGCAAGTGAGGCTTGAAGGTGGGCTTGCCATTCTCGTCATTGCCGAGGTCGGTGAAGAGCTTCTGGACAGCCAAGCCGAAGCGCTTGTTGTGAGGGTCCTGGTCAAACTGGTCGATCAAAAACTTGATTTCGTCAAAGACACGGTCGGTGTGAGCGCGGTATTTCTCGCGAAGCAAGTAGCGACCATGGTCGTACAGGTGGTTCCATTCCTGGTTGGAGTCCTCGTCCAGGATGTATCCCTGCTCAAGAAGGCAACGGCGGACGTAGCGGTCCATAGCCTTGAACCAGTCCTTCAGCTCGCGATCATTGTCGGCATCGCGGTAGATCTGGTTGATAGACTCGAAGAGATCCTCTGTCGAAGTGCCGTTGGCGAAACGCTCGATAAGCGTCTTGAGATCTGACTCGGCCTGGGCAAGACCGGCACGGGTATCCTTCACGGTACCAGTTCCACCCTGTGCCAGGGTGCGGGAGTGGCCGGCGTACTCCTCGGCGAGGTTAAGAAGGGTCTCAATGGCCTGGGAATAATCGGGGTGCTGCTGGCACTCAAGCACCATCTTCTTCAGGCGCCAGATGGTCTGGTCCTTGCGCTCCTGGGGCATCTTCTTGTTGAAGTACTCCTTGGAACGACGGAGGTACTCCTCCTTGCGCTGGCGTGCCTGCTCCTTGGTCTCGCCATCAACGTTCTCGTTGTACTTCTTCTGGATGACGTCGCGGGCAGCGTTGATGCCGCCTTGGGCGTTAACACCCGAGTTGGTACCTTGCTGCTGATCGCGAGCGGCCGTCGCAGCCAAGTCCTGGGGGTTCTGCGATCCGTTGGGGTGAGCGGCTTGAGTGCCTGCGGCCAGGACCTCCCGAGCATCATCGGCCGGAGAGCCCTTGTAGACACCCTGAGCCTGCTTCTTGAAGTTCTCCTTGGAGAAGTCGGGGGCATCGTGCCAAGTGTTGTCCTGAGCAGGGCGATCAATGTCCTGGAGGGCTTCACCCGAGGGACGAACACGCTGGGCGGCGTTGGTAGCGGCATCGCCAGCCATGTCCCGGAGAAGGACGGTAGCATCCTTCACTGAGATGTTGTTAGATTGAAGCCAGTTGGGTAGAAACTGTCATGAGACTTACAAAGTTTGCGGAACTGTCCGTTGGTGATGAGCAAAGTTCCCAGGGTCCGCAGACCCTCTAGCGCCTTGTCGCCATGTTGCTGAGCAACTTCCTTGTTGACGGGGGCGCCAGGAACGTCGACAGCCTTGGGGTCGAATTGCTCAGTTTGCCAAATGAAGTCTTGGATCAGATTGCCCTGGTTCTTGGACAACAGAAGGTTCTTGGCTTGAACGATAACTTCGCGCGCGTCGGCAATCAATGCGCGGCCCTCGGGGGAGAGCTTCTCGGGAGGGTTTGAGAGAGCCTTGGTGGCCAGGAAGCTGTTCAGAGCGACATCAATTTGGTCATTCTGTTGCGAGGACCACGTCAGTATCATGCAATGATGTAGGGTTACGGGGCAGGGATCAGCCCAGCGGGGGCCGTGTGGGCCCTTGTCGCCATGCCGGCATCGACTTACCGAAGGAACCTTGCCAGCCTGGAAAGCGGAGAGGATGCCGTAGAGCTGGAGCTTGCGGTTGACGTCGGCCTCCTTCTGCTTGAGGTCCGTCGGCTTGTTGACGTTTGCTGACATGATGGGGGTATCGTAGCTATCGCACAATGAAAACTGCTTGTTGAATTCTGTTTTTGGGTACGGTGTTGAGATGAGGTAGGGTGATTATCGGTAGTGGCGTACAGGACAAAAAAGGGAATTCGTGGTATTGGGTATTTCGGAGGGGGGTATCACAGGGAAATTGGGTATAATGAGAATCGCCAAGATTGTGTTCCTGTTCAAAAAAGGGTGAATCAGGAAAAGGTATCGTATCGATGAGGAAGAAGAGGAAGAGATCTGTAAGAAGGGGGAGCTGTAGGCGAGGAGGTGTTTATACCTTCTTTCTGGCGTCGTGTGTCCAGGACAGGGAACAGAACCTGGTAAGGATTGATAAAAAAATAAAAAAAAAGACCTGCGTCAGAATGAAACTGGGCCAACGAATATTTGGAAGGGAGGCGGCAAAGCAACGCGCGTGGCAGGCGTTCGTCCACCTCACTACGGTGATTTAGCCAGCAGGAGGCGGGCCCGGTACTTTCCAATTAGGAGAAGGCAGGTGCAGTGGGAGCTTGGTCCTTCCAGCCCGGTTCACAATGGTTCCTTCCTCCCCTTGGATGAGCTATGTGTCTATGGATAACCGCTACAAGGTACCTGCCCTGCGTGCCTTCCGTGGCCCTGCTAGCAAAAGATTGGTGTTTGTGGGTGCCCCAGGTGGTCCTGTCTGGTCTGGTCGTGGAACTCGGCGATGGTGACGGTGACGTGAAGGAAGGGGGCAGGAATTTGATGTACTACGTCATCGGGCACTTTGGCAGGTAGGTGCGTGCTGTGATCCTGGGTGGAGGGAGGCAGGTACCTTCCCGCACCCGTCAGAACTTCAGACCAGGTGAGTACTCCGTACCTTCCTTACCTGAGGACAATGTATCTTTTCAGCGTATGCACTGCCGGCGAGCACAAGAATCCTAGCGGAAAGAAGCGAGGGCAACCACAGCTGAACCTGCCTGCCCCTGCCTTGCTTGCGAAGGTGCTTGCTTCAGAAATCCAGCCCCTACCTATGCGTATGCCCCTGCTTCGCCTCGGCTGGGCCAAGTACCAAGCAATTGGAGCGCAAGATTGAGGTGACTGAGTTCCAGCTGGCGAAGCACTGGCATTTTTTAGCACGTCTCCTATTCGCATTAGTGGCCTGGGGAGATTCGCACCCACTTTCTTAGTGGTCCCACCTGGTGCGCTTTGCACAGTCTGGGTGACAGACAACATCTCGACATCCTCCATCCTCCATCGCAGAGCATAACCGGCATCGTCGATAGCTTTTCACCCTGTTCGATTCTCCCACCAAGCAACACACCACCAGTATCGAGCATCGACGCATTGGGTCTGGAGTGACCGGATAGTGGACACATCTACGGGAAGACGTCTCCGGGCTATCCTGCGGGTGATGCAGACTTTTGGAAAACACGGTCTAGACTCCTGCCAACTTCCGCACCACACATCCGCCGCTGTTCGCGACCGTCGGGTTCCTTTATTGTTGCAAAATGGTCCGATGTAGGTCAGGCAGGTTGGTGGTTAGGAGCACGGCAAGTTGGTACATGTACAGTACAAGCGTCCGGGCGACTGCTTCTCAGACAACCGTTTCCCAGCCTCCCCTCGTGATGGGATCTCTGTCGCACTACTCGGTACGGATATCAGATCACCTAGGAGAGTTTGGTGCTAGGCGCTGTCTGAAATTGTCAACGGTGGATAGCTCGACTATTCAGGCGCTACTCAAGTCCATGCCTCGTATCACCATAGAGTCTCCCTGCTGTGCTTCGAAGTGGTTACTGTCTTTCCCACAAGTCCCGATCCCCAGGATGCTAGCCTCTGTCCCACTATCATCTGTTTGATTCCCCATCAGGTGCCATGCAGGCCAGGCAGCTGTGGAACAAACCGTCCGTCGTCCTCGTGAATCGCCAACTGGACTCTGGCATCTTTGGACGACCTGACTTGATGATGTGCGCCAGGATATGACGGGATGCAGAAGGGATGCGCTGCGAGCTGCACTGCTGCGAGCTGCGTGCGCCGGTGTGGATGGCCTAAGGCCCTGTCCAATATCCCGTTGATTTGTTGTGTCTCAAACAAGACTCTGCCCACTTTGGGACTGGGTCGAGATGACACGCTGCCTTGGGGGAGGCCATGAGGAGACTGCAGCGGTAGCGGTACAAAGGCACATGGGATTTCCGGCTGTTTCAGCAACCCATCGCGACTTCCAGCAAGTTTGCATTGCATCCTCGATGCGAATGGCGTGGTGTTGGCCATGTCGTCATGTCAACGAAAGCGCGGGTCTCGACGCGACAGGCATCTTCACGCTAAACGTCTGTCTTTCCGCGCTTGGTATTTTTTTGAACGTGCAGCGGAAAGAGGTACAACGCTGCAAAGCTACCTAGATACATGGGGAACCCGATGGTACTTGATTGGCTCCACTTCAGCTCGGTTCTAGCCTTTCCCGTCCTCCTCCTTCTTCCTTCCTTCCTCCCTCCCCGTCCTTGCTCCTTCCCTGCCATTATTCATTGACCAACCAACAGAAAGACGACGGGAGGCAGGAGCATGAGCCGGGAAGAAACATGTCTCTGCCTCCCGCTGAACGATGGCCGCTGGTCAAATTTTCACGGATGATTTTCTCAACGCCTCACCAGTTCTGGAGATTATTCCCTATGCATTCTCATCCTTTCCGCGAAATGGAACCGTCCTCCCAACCAGATGCATTCGAAGCATCCCAAGAGATGCGCAAGAGCTGCAGCACCAGCATGCGCTCTGCGCTTCAATGACACTCTCACACACACACACGTTCTTTCTACCGGCCACACTCGATGGATGGTTTTGCCTTCACAGCCACAGAATGTCTAGGCCTTTCCAGTCTGGCATCCCTTAATACTTGCTCAATTCGCCAAATACGCCACACTTCCATTCATCAAATAATACGCGCCAAGGCCGGGATCATCACGGCATTCGGAATAAATTGATGCAAGGACCTGGCAAGCGCCGCGTCCAGGACTCCAGTCTCCAGGTCTCTCCAATGCTCCATCAACCTAACCTAACCTAACCTTGAACCCATGGCATTCTGCTTTCTGCATTGCCAATCATTGGCACATTGGCAGCGGCATCGCAACCCGTTCAAGCCTTGCTCAGACGACGTCGCCCAACGATCACCTCCCCTTCTGTCACTTTATTGTTGTCAAATGCTCCCAATTCGTCACGCGGTGGATGCCGCTACAGGCCATTGACACGTAATCGCCTAGTCTAGACGTGTTCAAGCCCTGTCGAGTCCAGGTCTGTCAAGTCTGTGAGCTCTTAGGTGCTTGTCCAGCTGGCCCCATCTCCCCATCTCATTTCTATCAAGATCTGGTTTCTTGTCATCATGTTTTTGGCATCCACGCATCCCATCGATGCGCGCCATCTCCTTGGTCTCTTGTGGCCTAGTACGCTACATATGGCATGGCGTCTTGACCTATCCTTTTTTTTTTATTCTTTTTTTTTTTTTCAAAATACTTTCTCCTTCTCTGGAATCGCGATCGACCGGCAAACAGTCAAACACACACCACCAGCTGCCAGCCCCAAAAAGCACCAGCGTGCAATCCATGACGTCAAAGTCTGGTCATTAGTGCGATGCACCTCACGGATATCTCAGCTCCCTGTGACGCCATTCTTCTGTCTTTCGGCACGCCACTGCATCACCAAACCATCAATTCATTTCCTTCGGCCTGCAATCTCCCTTCTAGCTTTTGCGCGGCCCGAAGCCTCTACCTGATGGCCGCTTTGCTTTTGCTTGCCCTCTTCCAAGGTTCATGAAAAGGCACAAGACTCAGGATTTGGTACCTAGTGAAGCAGGCTTTAGCAGTCCACCACCTTTCGATTGCCATCCCTGTCATCACCCCCATTTCAACCCACGCAGCGATGGCCCCACGAACTCACAAGGATACCTTGCCAAGTCTTATTTCTCCCCAATGTGATGGATGCATGGCCCCCGGAGCACCTCCTCCTGACGGCCGTCCCCTGAGATTTACTTCGATCTCATTCATTTGACTGCACTGATGTGGCGCAGTAGGTACTCCTCCCAGAGTGTGAGGCTATCTACACCCTTGCGCCGCATCACTTTGCACGTTGCTCTGATAGAACCTCTTGCATAGTTGTGAAATTGCTGCGTTGTCTATGAACTGCTCTCCTATCCGAGCCTTTCGTGCCCACAAGACTTGACCTACCTTTTTCTATTCACGAGACCGGCCAACGAGCTGGGAATGGACGCGCTCAATCCAATCTATACTTCGCTGCCGCATCAATTCCTCGCAGGCTATCTTCAGTGCTTGAAAAGAGGCATCGATTCCTCCTTGGAAATTCATCACAGGTTCCAACGATTCGGAGACATGTCTCTTCGCCCATTCCTGCAATGTCAGTAGTACTCGCTCTTTAAGAATGGGCAAAGCCTCAAGCACATTCACCTGCATAGGATCAATGGCATCAGTCACCCCGTGAAGTTGCATCGCCCAATCCAATGCCACGGGAAGATTTCGCAGCGGCGCTGGTATAAGGACCGCATCTTCCCAACCCATGATGCTCGCCAATTTCCGGTTTCCGTTGAAGAGAATGTAACCTGGGTGAGGATCAGGATGGACTAAACTCACAGGCCAGCCGTCCACGCTGCCACCCGTACTTTCAACTAAAATCGGATTTGGGACACTGAACCTCACACGGCTTGTCATTGCCCGGACGATCTCTCGCAACTTTCGTATACGCACTTTGATTTCGGGATGGCTTCTGTATTCGGGCTCCCAGACCGAAGTGTAGGCGTCGATGTAATCTTCGATGTATCTGAAAGGCCCGTTGTTCCGCACTTGCCAGTATCTGTCACGGCTGTAGAAGTGAGGGTGGACTATCGGTCCGGTGAAGAACTCTTTCTTTGACCAGTCGATACGAAGACTCCCAATACTCACCTGGTTCTTTGGGACGGTCGGTAGAGAGCTTTGCAGCTCAGACAGAAACAGCTGTACTTCCCTCGCAATGGCCTTTGTGTCCTCGTCGCTGAGGGAGGGCATGGTCTCCGGCGATATGTCCCCGAACCCGTCCAAGCCAGCATCCTGTTTCGCCATGTTTAGATCGTGCGCCGCGAGGATGTAGTTCTCCTCAAAGGCACTGAGCAAAGGAAACCCGGTACGCACTTCCATGATCATCCACTCCAACCCGAGTGGGTTCCTACCGATGGAGTCAAAGACGAGGATCTGAGGGACCACGGCTGGGGATACTTGCCTGGCAAACACCATCGCCGCAACCTCGGCTTCGAGCTTTTCGTGGGGACAGACGGGCAGACTAAGCTTGAGGATGACCTGTCGCGGGAGGGGTGACGACTTACCCTGGCCGACGGGTCTGGAAAGGGGCTCGAATTCGACAAAGTAGAATGCGTTTGTCGCGCCGCAGCTCATCCGCGTGACGGTACTGATGAATGGGGAATTCGTACACGTCACGTTGGGTATACCACTCCAGCATCTTCGACACGTGCTCGCCCGTCGGGATAAATGCGCCCTTCCAGCGGGCGTCGTACTCCCCGTCCGGACGCGCCGTCCACCGGACAAACTTATCGCGGATGTGCTTCACGGCGCCCGGGTTCGTGCTGCTTCCGCCGCCAGAGGGTGCCATGGGGTCCGGGTCCGGGATGCGGTATGGGAGGTGGGGGATCGGTCTGTTTCTGCCGCCACCGCCGCCGCGGCGGGATAGGCTTCGGATGATGGGGACTAGGCTGCTGGAGGATTCGTTTTGGGGAGGGCGGAAGGAGGGGGAGGAAGGGGGCCCGCGGTCTGTGAGGTCTTTGAGGCCTGTTGCGAGGCGGTTGGAGACGCGGCGGAGGAGCGGGGTAGGGGTTGTGTTGAAGAAGGATCGAGGGGGTTCTTCGGGGGAGGAAGGGGGGCTGTCGTTTAGGGTTGCCTTTACGCGGCGGGTGAGCTTTTTGAGTTGGTCCATTGTGAGCTAGGATGCGGAAGGCGGCGATCAGGTGGACTGCGTGTACTGGTTGATTTTGGTAAAGGTTGGCGATTTGGAATCAGATGTTCTTGTCATGAGATGTTGGGGTTAAATTGTTGCCTACTCGTTTGCGATGCTATCTTCTCGGACATTTCATCAAGAATGGCGAGGGGCCGAGATACTGGTGATATATGAATTACATCTGATTGTAAATAATCAATGCCATTATGCAAAGGTTCATGAAAGGTCGAGACTTGAGATATTGTGTTGAAAGAAATAAGGGAACAGCTGCCAGATGCTCAAAGGAGTACAGCCAAAGATAGGGACATTGTGTATGCTCCCAACAGAATCCGGACAAAACTTGACGATTGATTGTCACTGATATATCAAACTATCTCTCAATCTTGAGACTGATCTCATCGGTCATTTGCGGAATTTGTGTAGTCAGATGCGTTAGGTCGAGAATCGGGTGAATTGTGCCGTCTAAATATGGACGAGCGTCACGTGGTGAAGTATCCGGCCGCTTGATTTTGATACAGATACCAAGTGCTTCTTGACTCTTAGCAAGTTGCAAGCGCCAGTGCAGAAAGGCTATTGTATTGATGCGTAATACCACACTTCTGATATTGAGCGATCTGGATAATATCAACGGTTGGTCGATGATGTTCTGTAGTGAAGCATGAGTCTTTCCCAGAGACCTCTACCCAGCGGGCCAATCTAAAGCGAAGGGCAGATACAGCACATCTGCAGAGTAACTCTTCTCTCGGTAGAGTCAAAGACGTTCCCTTCGAGCAGCAATTCAAGAACCTGCATGGATTCTTGAGCTGTCGAAGAAGGCCCATAAAAGCCGAGTGAACCTCGGAGGCACCTGACTGTGTGATTGCACGGCCCTCGGGCTGACTAACCCCACTTCCCCGGATCTCCCGCCCGCTCTTCCCCAAAGTCCCCGAACGTCTCTCATCTCAGCCTCAGGTCATTGAAGGTATCACTCATACCTTTCCCCTCATACTGACCATACGGATTTAGCATCAAGCATCTCGCCCTACTCACTCATCCTTTCCACAACCACCCTTGACTCAAACGACAGAAACCCGCGAACACAACCAAATGTCATCACCCACAAACCCCCTCACAACCCTCCTCCACTCCCTCCGCAATCGCTCAACCGTTCCAACCCTCCTCACAACCCTCGCAACACCCCTCCTCTTCTGGGCAGCCTACCGTGACTACCGCGCCTACATTGCTCTCGGCCCCGGCGGCGTCCCGCACAACGCTCTAGGCTGGCTCCTCGTCACCCTCGGTCTCCGCCCCTTTGCCCTCTCTAAAAGCTCGGCCACCTGGACGGACGATTACCCAGACCATGGAGCTCACACCGAGATCCGGGAACTTCCTGAGAGGAAGGGCGAGAGGGCCGAATTGGGTGGGATCGTACCGCATCGGCAGTTGAGTCAGCATGCGCCGGAGAAGATGAGAGAGGTAACGAACGTATTGTGAACCCTTGGCTCGGATATGAAATGAGCTCATATGAACAGTTGACTGACGACTGACCAGTTCATTGAAAACCTCTTCGCCAACGCGGTGACACAAAACCCATCCCTCCTAACCACAAAACTCTCCCTCTATGAACGAAACAATCCAGCCCTCTTCCTCCATCCTCAAATCCTCTCCTCCCTCACTCCCTCATCCTCATCCCAATCAACACCCGTCATCGCCCGCGGCGAAATAGCCCACCACCACACAGACCTCTCCATCCACCTCTACCTCTCCCCCGCCGACGCCAAACTCGCCATCCAGAAACGCTGGGCCGAGCGCCACCGCCTCTCGCTGCCCAAGGGTTCGTTCCTGGCAAACAGGTTACATCTGGCCGACTCGTATCTCATGGTCTACGGCCCGCGGGACGAAGAAGAGATGGAGATGCTGGCGGAGTTGTTGCGCTGCGGGGTGCGATTTATGACGGGGAGGGAGGATGTTGGGGTGATTGAGTGGCGGAGGAAAATTGAGGCGTGATGTAGTATGTTCTCAACAAAAGGGGCCCTTTTTTTTTGGTAATGTTTACAATGATGATTTAGCATTCAGTAGCTGCATTAATAATGTATCTATCATCTCAGTTGGCGCAGTCATGCCAGCACCCTGTAGATGGGGTACTCATCCCCAGCCTCAACAGGAACAATGTTAAAACTAGCATACGAATCAATATTCTCCGGCTCCAGCGCCACAAACGCAAGAGCAGCATTCTTCTGCCTCGTGCTGACGAGGAAGCTGCCAGCAGGCAAATCCACCTCCCTGGTCAGAGCCTCCGTCGTCACGGCAGCGCGCACGACGCCCTCGTAGTACTCCGTCTCAAACACGGCCGACGTGATGTCGTAAGCCTCCACGGTGCCGACATAGGGCTCGCTCAGCGTCTCGACTTCCAGACCAGACACGCGCAGACGCTCTGCGAGATCGGTCCAGGCGACGGGGATGAGGTAGGCTTCGGGGCGGGCGCGGGTGATGTTGGCCGTCACGGGCGTGGTGGAGCGGAAATTGATGGGTACGTCGGTGACGGAGCCGTTGTTGATGTTGACCATCTTAAACGTGCGCTGGACGAGCGGCGAGAAGTCCGTGACGATGATCTCCGAGGTGGAGGAGGCAAAGTCGGCGATGGAGGACTCGATGGTCGTGTAGACCTTCTCAGCGTTGTTGGCGGCGGTTTGGAGGATGCTCGATGCCATGGTCAGGCCGGCCACGGTACGGCGCTGAAATTCCTGGTCCGCGAGGAAGATGCCGCGCATCTCGATGAGGAAGGTGACGCACTGCGTAAGGCCCATGGCGTTGCGACCAATCTTTGCGTCCGAGCCGGCCTCGGCGAAGGTGGGCTTGAACGCCGGGTTGGTGCTCGTGGAGCCGGTCACGTACGGCTCCCAGCGCAGACCCCGGGCCTCCATGTCCGAGCCAATGTTCTTGGCGAAGACCTCCTCAGACAGCGTGCGGATGTCCGGGTGGATGTTGAGGTTCTTGGCGGCGGAGAAGAGGCCGTCGGCGGCGTGGTAGTAGCTTCCGTAGCGAGCAGTCGCGCTGTACTCGTGCATGTCGATGGCGACGTGGGGAGCAAACTCGCCAAAGAGGGTTTTAATGTCGCGGGTTTGCTTGCGGGCAAGCTTAACGTGATCGCGGTTGGGATCGTAGTTGGTGGCCAGGGTGCGCTGGAAGTAGCCAACACCGTCGGGGTTGTACCGGGGCAGAATGACGATATCAAGCTTCTCGAGGAGCGACGCGGCCCATGTCTGGTTCGCATCTAGGGCCCCGAGGAGGGCCAAGAGTGATTGATCGCCGGCTGGCTCGTTGCCATGGACGGCACCTTGAACCCAAACCCGGACCTTGCCAGTCGAGTTCGAAACTCTACGAGACAGCTTTGTCGAAGATAAGTGAAGGTAAGGAAACGGGCGGCCTTCCTCCGAAGTGAAGTTGGCTTTGTTGTAAGTCAACCAGTCGTTCTTGTCGGCCAAGTCTTGAACAAAAGAGTCTTTGAAATTATTAGCCATTGCTTAGACAAAGCTGCTCGTTGAAAGCTCACCAAGAAGGTCGTCATCTGTCGGGCCTTGTGTGCCGTCAGAGAAGCCTGCAGGAATCGTCTCCGGGGTCAAGAATGCAGGCGACAGCAAGTCGACGCCCTCGATATCCTTGAAATTGGCGGCGACAATGTCCGTATCCTTGCGCACAGTTACGTGGTTGTACCCGTACTTGGCCGCCTGGACAGACGAGAGTAGAGACAAGCCAAGCAGGCTTAGGCGAAATGTAGCAACCATTGTGTTGGACAACGTAAGGTTGTGATGGGCCTTGCAGTACCAGAACGAAACAGCGCCAGGATCTAACAGAATTGCCCTAAGAGACGGGCAGCTTCGTCCCTTTTCACAGCCCTCTTATTCTCACAAGGCACCAAAGTCGCGCTGGGGCAGCGTAGCATCACGCAGCGCAAAATGGCTCATCAACGCGTGGCGGGAAACGGTTCCTGACATGACCGTTGGCTTGGCTGATCTCATTCCGTAGTCGACGGTTGATAATTCAACCAATGTCGGAGGAATTGCCGATGCTGACCGGCAGTGGGATACTGAAAACCATCAAGGCTCTCATCGTAGGTCCGATTCGAATTAGTGTTAACATTGGCAACGAAACTGGATGAGGCAGCTCAGTAGAAAAGATGAGGGGAAAGCGGGGGAATCCCCGTGGGTGCAGATAACGGTGGGCAGCGGCCATGTCGCCAAGACTTTGGGCCCTCCGTAGCGAGATATGCTTCCTGCCATTGACGTATAGAATCACTCCGAAAGACTGCAATAGGCCCACGGGTTCATATCGAGTTGCCGATATTCGGGTCGGAGGCTCTCTAAACCTCGCTCGCCAAGAACACAGCTGTGCAGCTTGTTGATCAGTAGATACGCAGTTGTCCTACTCCGCGGGCAATGGCCGAGTACCGGAGCGGCCTCGTGCCGACTTTGACAGTTGGATAATACATCATGAGGGTGACCCGCGGCATCGATGGTCATTTCGTAATTCCAAGTCAAGAGAGCAATGTCTTGTGTGCCTTTTTCGGCATCGAGTGCGAAAGCCAGAATTATTTCTAATGCGACTTCGGACACAAGACACTGATGAAGCATCTAGATATTCATAAAGGGTTACAATGCGGCCTTTCCCCGTGACTCGAACGGTAATATAAGCACCAAAAGTCCAGCTGCGATGAAGAGCGCGCCACTGGTGTAAACGGGAGCCGACGTCTTTAGGTTAGCGAACATGGCAACAATGGGCTGCGGGCTTTTATCAGCATTGGTCTTCTGGTCTCCGCATATAAGAGCACTTACAGCCATGATCCCGAAGATGCGATTGCAGGTCGCCGTGAGCGCGTTGCCGGTGCCGCGCTGCGGAGTGGGGAAGAGCTCCGGGGTGAAGCCGTAGAGCACCGCGTACATGACGTTGCTGCAAAAGTTGAAGGCGCAATTCCAACCAAGCAGCGCGTTGCTAGTCATAGCCGTCGTAGAACAGTAAAGGAAGACGCCGGTGGCAACGGTGCTGATGGCAAGTGTGCCTTTGCGCCCCAGCGCCGGCAGCTCAACCAGCCAGCCACCCAGCAGCGCCCCGGGCACGCCCAGCACCGCGATGATCAGACTGTTGCGGTAGGTCAAGTAGGTGCTTCCATCACCCAGCTCAGCTCCACGGGTGGCTTGAATATACGGTATAAAGGCGTTGTAGAGAGGATAACCTAGGCCGATCAGCGCCCAGATGGCCATGATTGTGCCGGTACTCAGAGCCAGGCGACGAGTGGAGAAAAGCACACGGATTCGGCTAAGATCGAGCTTCTCCAGGTTTCGTTTGACCGCTGTGGCAGCATCGGTGCGCGCGACGTATCCTTCGGGCTCACACGCCTTCAGATCCTCTATCGACAACGACGTGAGCTTTCCGTTTCGCCTGGCAACTTTGTGTACGATTCGGACGGCATCTTCGTCGCGGCCTTTTCCCATGAGATACTTGGGCGACTCGTAGATGGTGAAGAGGACGAATCGAATCAGGAACATGATCAGTGTCAGGCCGCCAATGGTGATCAAGAAGTATCGCCAACCCATATTGTTGGCTTTGGTGCAAGTTGCGCCTTCTTGGCAGGTGAGGTTGCCGAGGAGGGGCCACGCAATGAGAGTGGCAATGACTTGGGCGATGGCCCAGTCAATTGAGAGAACTGTCAACAGGTATTGATGGGTTCCTGGGAGAAACTCAAGGAAGATGGCCGAATCGACAGGGAGGTTGCCTCCGACACCGAATGACCAGAAGGCCGCGAAGATGCCAATGCCTGCGAAGCTGGGCGCACCGGCAGCAGCCATCCCCCAGAGAGCAGTCAGACCGAGGGTCAGATTGAAAGCCACTTTCCTCCCAAATAAGTCGCAGCCAAAGCCCCAGAACATGGCACCTGCCAGAAGGCCAATGTTTTGCGATAGTGTAAGTAGAGGCGGACGAGAAGGACCGAATTCATTGGTAATCGGGGTGAAGATGAGCGACGTGACTATCGGCCAAAGGTTGTCGCTTGCCCAACCGAATCCGACGACGATAAAGAGCTGCCACTGGTACCAACCCATGCCGATATCTTGAATCTAGAAGCAGAAGTCAGTGGTCGTGCGCTCTAGTCTTGAAGTCATCCCCAGAGAGTAACATACAGCGCGATTGAGTACACGGGCTTTGGCCTCGTAGACAGGATCTAGAGCACCCTTGGGAATGATGGCAGCATCGTCGATGCCATGGATGTCAATGCTGCCATCGTGAGCCACACCGGCATGCGAGTCGATCTTTTGCGCCGTGTCGAGCTTTCGCGTGGGATCTGTATCGGTGCCCATCTCGATGTGATTCTGTCTGTGCCTATAAAAAGGGAGATACTGCAAAACGACGCAAAAGACAATTTGACGACAGCAACCTTGACGTCTTTCCAAAGGAGCAAAGAGCCTCGAAGGTTCCAGGGTTCGAGTTTAGAGAGCCCTGCGGGAGATCAGCGCCATATGTACCGGACGCGTCGCCACAGTCTGTAGGTTTGGGTGTTACTGCTCGAGACATTCAGACGGCGGCAGCTCCCACGTCGCACTCAGCTCGAATGGCGCAATCCGTCTGGTGAAGCGTCTCTGAGGTCTTGATTGGCTTTGCTGACCAAACGGCAGACGGAACGCATGCCGATCTGCACTTTATTCCAGTGTTTGACTACAGCTTTACTGTGGTGGAGGGGAACCGAACGGTCCTGGTGGGTTCAATGTGTGGGGGATCTGCCTGTAACCCAGCAAGTTGCGCATTGTCTCGTCCGGTTCGAGCTATCCGCAGCTTATTTGTTGGTTGCATTCCTGAGCCATGCTTGGGAAGAGACATGCCTCGTGCGTCATCGACATTACTTGATGGAGGAGAGCGGTCCCTCATGCTTGACGGGGAGTCGGCATCGAGTCCTCAGGATCGCAGGGAAGATGACCATGTTGTAGTTTCGACACGCCGATTATAGACCTTCGCAAGGCCGACGGTTGGCGTGCAGTTTCACTGCCAAAGGTGCAAGTCCGGTGGCATCCAAGAAGATGGAAGGCTCAAAGTTTGGCTTCAAAGACGGGGGGAATGATGAGATGTTTCGGCCCACAGCGGATGTTAGCGGGGAAGGGGATCGCTGGCGACGCTAAAACAATTCACAACCACGTTAGGCGCAACAGCTGGCCAGATTTCCCCCTCGGTCGGCGACAGCTGGTCAGCTATGTCTACGTACCTCACTTTCTTCCCCGCGCTCTCCCATCATCTCCTCTATGAAGGCCTTCGACATGGGATGCTCGTGAAAGAACCTCTCCTTTGTGCCAAGACGCTGGCCAATGCACAACCAGTCCGAGGACTCAGCGTCCGGATCTTGTCTGATAAGGCAGAGCAATGTCGAGAATCACTGCATACCTCTTGACAGTGTTCTTCATCTTCGCCACTATCTCATCAGCAAAGAAGAACCTCATAGTTGACACAGACCTATTCAGCGATTGCGAGTAAGTCTGTTATCCTTATTTCCACACTTATTTCAATCCTCTCTAACACACCTCAGCGATGCCGCGGCTCTTCTTCTCGCCGCCACATCTCCAGAAGTCAACCTCCTGGGAGTTAACATCAACTCCCAATCCTCATATTCAGTTCTAGCAGCTTCAGCCCTCCTCAACCATTTTGGCCACGCCCAAGTCCCAGTCGGTGCTCGCCGCCCGCTAAACGATGTCCCATTCTTTGACAACTGGGCCAAGCGGGCCGGCGAGTTCGCGAGCAAGCTAGCGACATACTGGTCCAAAAGCATCTCCGACGCCGAAGCAGCCTGGGACCCCGTCGACCTTTACCGCAAGCTCCTCTCCGAGGCAGAAGATGACTCCGTCACCATAGCCTCTATCGGCTTCCTGCACAATCTCTCCGGCCTCCTCAACTCCACCGCAGATGCCCGGTCCGCACTGTCCGGCCCCGAGCTGGTGAAGACCAAGCTGAAAGAGCTCGTCGTCATGGGCGGGGACTACCCAAACGGATTTGAATTCAACTTTTGGGGCGACGATTCCTATCAGACAGCACACGTGATTCACAATTGGACAAGTCCGATTGTTTACGCCGGTTTCAAGCTCGGGGGCTCGGTTCGCTCAGGCGGTCCTCTCATGGCGGACGGGCCCAAGACTGACCCTGTGCGGGCGGCGTACATACTCTACACGTATTACCAGCCGCGGTGGTCGTTCGATCCGGTCGCGATGCTTTACGCTATAGGGGGTCTCGGTGAGTACTTCAAGTTCGGTAACGAGTATGGATACAATACCATCACATTATACGGAGATGGCAAGTGCAACGGTTGTAATGTCTGGGTGTATGACAAGAACGTCACGAATCAGCACTGGCTTGATCTTACAGTCAGCCACGGAAAGCTAGGTGAGGAGCTGGATAGGCGATATTTGCAGGGAGCAAGGTCCTCCAAGAGGGCTTCTGACCCCATTGGAATTCTCCCCAAGTTTGGTGATTGCAGAGTCGAGCAAGCTCTGGGCCCACCAGAAAGACTAGAGTTATGAGGCGCTAGGTCGCTGAACGGCAGGTCGCCTCGGTTTTCCAGCATAACTATCTATGTATATCGGACTTGACCGGATTCCAAAGTTACGAAACGTACCTAGAGAACTGTGATTGAATTAAGAAGAGATTTAAATAGAAGAGAGAGAAGAAGTTCTAAAGCTATCGAAGCGAAATAGAGAAACTAAGAGTCAAAATCTAGATGCTGTATGAACGCTACGCCCATTCGAAGCCTTGCAGTTCGCTTTCCTACCTCTAGCGGCTAGGCTATCATTGTCAAGAATTCTTCTCGGTTCCTCGGAAGTGTAATATACAACACAATATGGTACCTAGTATGCATAGTTCATCGAGATAAGACCAATGTATTCGCCTCCTGAGACAATAGACAGAAATTACACGAAATTGGATGAAAATCTGATGATCAAAAAACACCTTCTATTCAGAGTGAGAAAGGTAGCAAAGTTACAGAATAAAGTTTTCATGGCCAAGGCTTTTGGTTTCCAGCTACGATTGAAGATAGTTGCTCGCTGCTTGGAACAGTCGTCAGTGGGAATAATGAGAACAATGACGATTGCTGCTTGCATATGATCACGGTATCAGGTTCTTTTGGAATCGCCTGGGAAGTCGGGCAAATCCCGCAAATCTACCCAGAACAATATCAGTTGATCGGACTGGCACCAGTCTACCTTTGTCCACGCAGTCGGATCTCCCCCACCGTCAAAAGTGCCCATTAGTCTCGGCCCAAGCTGGCCATGTTCTCCCTTGTCGAATGATGGTTTGAAACACCTGAAATGATTGTCTTTGGCCCTGTGGAGATTCTTTGTCAGAGACCTGCTAGTCTCGGTGTTCTAGGGGACACTATCATAAGCACGAGTTCAGAAAATTTATCGATTCATGATCATTCATTTCAAGACTGTATAGAAACGCGCTCTATTGTTGTTTCTCTACAGATACATAGGAATGCCGATTACGATTGAATGGACAGTGGCAGGTTTTTCAATAAGATGATTTAGTCACGAGCCATCTATTTGAGCGTGGACAAGGAAAAAATGAAGTCCCTACCAGATCTCGTCCCACCTCAGCTGGCACATCAGAACCTGAACCAGGATTGTTCTCGCAACGGATCCTGCATGGCACTTGGCTTGGATTCTGTACCAATGAGATCATGCGCAAAAGTACCTCCAAGTAATCTATAGGTGGCTGGCATGACTTTGCCGATTCGTCTTTCTGGTATCACACCTTGGGGATGGGCCCATGCATAGCAAGTCTCCGCTTTGACTTGGGCTGACAGAGGTTTTTGGCTTAGTTATTCAGCCCACGTGGAAGATTTCGTGACGAAAATTGGGCTTATTGAATTCTTCGAATCTACTAGCATGTACCGGTTTTGGAGTGACGTGAGTCTATGGGTCATATGCGTACAGGCAGGTACTCAGGCAAGTAAGTGTCAATCACCTCGCTTCTTGGTATATCGATCTAGAAGTTGACTTCGCGGGGAGTTCGATAGCAAGATGAGTGAGTTAGAACATCACTTTCCTCAGTGTACATCTGCTTTTTTCACCTTGCCACATAGCAAGATTGACGCAGAACCCAAGGAATGGGAGTCATGCCGTCTCATAAGATGACAAAAGGCTCGCAGATGTGCCGCCATAACCGCGTGGGGACTCGAATACAAGCTTAAGCAGAACAAAGAACCCCAGTAGCCGTGACCAGCGTAGGGCCTGCCATGGCCGCGGCAGACAGCATGGACTACTGAACCAGGGCATTGGCCCGAAATTCCGGCCACACAAAGCGCCTGAATTAGAGTGGACAATAGCCCATTTCACCATCTAAGTACCAACCGTTTGCTCGGCACCGGGCCAAGGCACCTCATGGGGGACTTTAGGTGTGAACAACAGCATAATCGAGGGTCGGGCAGCTCTGAAAGTTGAGACTGAGGCGGGGCGGTGGCGCAAGATTCAAAGACGTGATGGCTTACAAGACTTTAAGAGTACGAGAAGGAAGGCTAGGGAGCGACTATCGATATTGCTGGAGCGGAGCTGGATGGGTTGTGAGTACCTGGTTCCGGATATCCCGCCGGATGGTGTCGGATCACGCTGGTTCTTTGCGCGGCGCGCCGAAGCTGTTGCCACCTAGCTCCATCAATGAGAACTCGAATTTGTAAGAAGAAGAGTCAGTCGCAGTTGGCAAGTTCCAGCTTTTCGCAAGGCTCCGGCTTGCTCGATTTCCGGACTGTGAATCTCTGATTGAAGCTTCACCGCAGCCGAAGAAGTTGACATGGCGGCTTTGTGAAAGTTATCGTTCAGAGATTCAACGAACGATTCACATGCAAATTGAACTCACAAATCGCAAACCTGCGCCGATCCTTCGCGGGAACGAGCCAAAGTGACCGCTCAGGTACGGATAGTGCATCGTGTCCATCAGAAAACTGGGGAGTATCCGGAAAGCCAGAACCGAACGCGATCCAGCCCGCTCTTCAGAGTCGTTTGACTAACGATTCCAGTCTCACAGACCAGCCAGACAACAAAAAGTCTGCCCAATTTCCGGTCTCGCTGAGAACCTGTCAAACAGTCGTGGAGAACGGCAGCATGCCACCGGGTTATCGCCGACGTTGCGGCGATTTAGCCTTCGGAAGCCGAGTTTAATTCTTGAACCGACTCTGATTCGTTCTTCTGTAAACCAGTTCCTCGAAAGCGGGTGATCGCCAAGACCGACCACCCTGGACGGGCTGCCACCTCGTGCGGACAACCGTTGCCTCTTTCACGACACCCATCAGTAATGCTCACACACTGAAAAGAGTTTTCCATCGTCAAAAGCCGGGCCAAATACGAGAGCTGCCGAGGGAACGAAAACCCAGCTAGCACCGTGGCACCTTACCCAGCGATAGAGACGCTGGGCCCTTAGTGCCCGTTGGTCGTTCTGGAAGTGGATGCCGGTCCCACGGCGCCGAGAGGACACTAGTGATGCAGAGACGATGTATTTGGCCAATGAGCAGATGGGCGCCCATCTTATCAGATGATCAGATAATATGAAGCCATGTCCGCTCTTAGTGGAGCCATCTACACTACACCCAACCTGGCCCACGCTCACCCATCTTTCTGCCCCTGGCGAACTTTTGAGTCTCTTCCCAGGTTCCAACCAACTAAATGACCCAGAGAGGCACAAAGTCCAAACAACGTTGCGGGGCTTCTGAGCGCCTTGGGCCCAGTGCGATCCCATCAGATAACTCTCTCGGGTGGGCCAACCACACGAGCAGTGGGCCGCTACAGTCAGGCACACCGCACACCATGGACCAGGGCACATCGTCACGATCGAAGTGTCAGGGGTGTTGGCATCCGGTTTCGTCGGCTCAGCACGACCTTGGCGGATGAGCCCGCCGGCTTGGACGTTACCTTACGTTTTTGGTGTTTTGGTTCTCCTCGGCATGGAAAGCGGTTGGCTGGGGCTCGGCGCCCAGGTTTAGGTTGTATCCGTAGTAGAAACCACAAAGAGTGAGAAACAAGAATTGGCGCAGGCATATATTGAGGGCCGTATATCCCGCTTTCACGACTCTTGAATCCTCTCTTCTCTCTCCCAAGTCACTCCCCCATCACAAGTTTCTTCGCAAATCTTGTGATCCTTCGAGCCTCGAGCCTTGCTCTCTGAGACCAGACCTCCCCCTTCTCAGACAACTCGTCAAGTTAAGCTTCATTTCCAGAAGATTCTCATCACCTTCAAGATGGTCTCTGCCAAGTCAGTCACTTTGTTCGGCAGCATGCTGCTGGGCAACGTCATGGGCGCCGACAACATGGGTCCGGCCGCTTTCCTCTGGTAAGGATATGCATGTCGCAGGGTTAAACGCAGATCGGCAGCTAATCCGGAAACCATCAGGCCCCCAGACCGTGAGTGGTCTGCCGATGCCGACAACACGGCCCCTTGTGGATCCACCAATGGCCCCGGTGTCCGCACCGAGTTCCCTCTCGGTAAGTCAATATATCCTCTTGAGTCTCGGACTACTCTAACATCGAGCCAACATAGTGAACGGCAAGCTTGCCCTTGTCACCCAGGACGTCACCCGCTCCGTCCACCTCAGTGTCTCCTACGAGAACGGTATGTGCAAACATTCTTACACCATCCTCCCTTCTTCCCCACTTCTCCTCGGAAACGCAGACCCTAACATCCACCATCCAAACAGACCCCAAGTCCGTCTCCGACTTCGAAACCTTCCTCGGACCTAGCGAGGTCGGCAGCCTCGACCTCGGCCACACCTGCGTGACGGTCCCCAGCGCGCCCTCGGGCACCGCCGCCGGCTCCAACGCGACCTACCGCATGCTCTACGTCTCCAACTTTGACCAGGACGAGTCCAAGCGCGAGACCTACTACGCCTGCGCCGACGTTACCTTCGTCGACGTCTTTGCCACCTCCATTCCCTGCTTCAACGCCACCGTCAGCGACCCGGACGTCGACGTCGACACCACGGTCAACGTCACCACCACCGACTCGGGCGGCAACACCCCGCACACCGCTGCCGACTTCACCGCCGCCGGCGAATCCAAGAGCTCCGGTCTCTCCAAGGGCGCCATCGCTGGTGCCGCTGTCGGCTCTATCGCGGGTGTCTCTCTGCTCGCCCTTGCTGGATTCTTCTTCTGGCGCAAGAAGGCTGCCAAGAAGGAGGCTGTTACTGAGCCCATGCAGCAGCGCTGGGATGCCGAAAAGGCTGTCAGTGACACTTCCTCCGTCAACAGCCGTCCCCAGCACTAAGCTTGCCTTAAACCGAATTCAACGCATGGCGTTGCCTTTGATGGCAGTGTCATAATGCGCTTAACATAATCCTGGAACGAGAGATGATATGATTGACGTAGATCATGAAGTAGCAAGAATAAAGGGAGACATCCCGCTTAATATCTCGCTCTTAACCAATATGTGTTCCTGAACTCGATGCCAATGGTCGTGTTGAAGAAAACAAAAATGATGTCTTCCTGTCTTACTGATGCATGTTATTGATGCAATTACGCGGGTCTTTCCACTGAATAATTGCCCCACCTTATAGCCCGCTTTAGTGCATGGACATCCAGGCAGCATCCCCAAGGCAACCGCTCCACCGTTGAACTTCAACGGCCTCAGGTGAGCCGCAATTGAAGGGTATAAGTCCTCAAGGCCCTCGACATGACGGGATCCGTTGCGATGCCACCCAGATCTTTCATGCACAGTCGGCTGATCAGATCCAATTCCGCCCAATAACATCCACATCGCGGGCTCTTCTACTAAACCATCGACAATTCTCCGGCGCCAACGGCTCTCAATTCTCTTGCCAGTTCACGCAGTGAATTGCCCACCATGAGCCAGCGCAAGCGACAAAAGTCGCCAGATGCGGCGGCGATTGATGAGGAGGAGAGGCAGTATGCTATCGGAGGGACTACGCTCGAAGAATTGAACGAGAAGTGAGTCCTCTTTCTACCCTTCCCTGGCCCCAGAGCTCACAAGCCACTCTAGGTACCCAAATCGCCCACGCAATCATTCAAAGACGATGCGCTTTTCAGAACTTTTCCAAAGCCTCTTCAATCCTTTGAACGAGAACAAGAAGCAACCCGCCGGTCGCGGTCCACCTCGCAGCAAGAAAGGCCCCCACGGACTGCACAAGCTATCGCCGCAAGAACAGAGACGGCACCTCATTGAGCGCTTTGTTTCCAGATGGCGAAACGAGGTGGGAAACGACATCTATCCGGCTTTGCGACTCATTCTGCCCGACAAGGATCGGGATCGCGGCGTCTACGGCCTGAAGGAGAATGCTATTGGCAAACTCCTCGTCAAGCTTATGAAGATCGACAAGAACTCGGAAGACGGCCACAACCTCCTTCACTGGAAGTTGCCGGGTCAGACTACTTTCTCTAGACTGGCTGGCGACTTTGCGGGCCGGTGTTTCGAGGTGCTTTCCAAGCGACCGATGCGGACGGAAGTCGGTGACATGACGATTGCCGAGGTCAATGAGTTGCTGGACAAACTCGCTGCATCGACGGGGGAGCTGGAGAACCTGGAGGTCTTCGAGATTTTCTACGAGCGCATGAATGCGGAAGAACTTATGTGGTTGATCCGTATCGTGCTCAAGCAGATGAAGGTCGGCGCCACCGAGCGAACATTTCTTGACTTGTGGCATCCGGATGGCGAGGCCCTCTTCAGCGTGTCGTCGAGTCTGCGACGCGTCTGCTGGGAGCTTTTTGACCCCAGGATTCGTCTGGAGCAGGAGGATACCGGTGTTACTCTTATGGAATGTTTCCAACCCCAGCTGGCACAGTTCCAGATGCCATCTTCCTTCCAGAAGATGGTTGATTACCTCCGGACTACTGAAGAAGACCCCGAATTCTGGATCGAGGAAAAGCTGGACGGCGAGCGCATGCAAATGCACATGGCCGAAGACGCGAGTGTTCCGGGAGGACTGCGATTCTGCTTCTGGTCTCGCAAGGCGAAAGACTACACCTATCTGTACGGTAATGGGTTGAAGGACGAGAAGGGGGCTCTGACTCGTCACCTGGCAGACGCGTTTTCCGAGGGTGTCCGCAACGTCATTCTAGACGGAGAGATGATTACATGGGACCCGGAAGTCGACAAGATCATGCCGTTCGGCACCCTCAAAACAGCCGCTCTAGCCGAGCAGAACAACCCCTACAACAACTCCGGGCCGCGACCGCTCTACCGCGTCTTCGATATCCTCCTGCTGAACGATCAGCCTTTGACCCAGTACACGCTGCGGGATCGTCACCGTGCCCTAGAGAAGGCTGTAAAGAGTGTTCACAGGAGACTGGAGATCCACGAATACGAGTCCGCGACGACACCTGAGGCCATCGAGCCACTCCTCCGCAAGGTCGTTGCGGAGGCATCGGAAGGCTTGGTCCTCAAGAACCCGAGGTCGATGTACAGACTCAACAGCCGCAACGACGACTGGCTGAAAGTCAAGCCGGAGTACATGTCCGAGTTCGGAGAGTCTTTAGATTGTGTCGTTATTGGTGGCTACTACGGCTCTGGACGGAGAGGTGGTGCCATCTCCAGCTTCTTGTGTGGCCTGCGTGTCAGTGAGAATCACATCCAAGCCGGTGCGAACTCCGAGAAGTGCTTCAGCTTCTTCAAAGTCGGCGGCGGCTTCACAGCGGCCGACTATGCGGAGATCAGACATCGGACGGACGGCAAATGGACTACGTGGGACTCGAAGAAGCCTCCATTAGAATACGTCGAGCTCGCCGGCGGCGACCGGCAATTCGAGAAGCCAGACGTCTGGATCCGGCCCAGCGAATCTGTCGTCGTGGAAGCCAAGGCCGCGAGCATTGGCAACTCGGATCAATTCTCCCTCGGCTTCACCCTTCGATTCCCGCGTTTCCGTAAGCTGAGAACCGACAAGAACTGGGACGAGGGCCTCAGCGTGCAGGAGTTCCTGGACCTACGGCGGCGGGTAGAGGCGGAGGCCAAAGAAAAGACCATGAGTGTCGAGAACCGCAAGCGCAAGTCAGTAAAGCGCGTCAAGCGGGAGGTCGTCATCGCTGGAACGGAGAACATGCCTGCGCAGTTCCAAGCAGATAAGTCCAAGGTATTTGAGGGTCTCGAGTTCTGCGTGCTGTCGGAGTCGCTCAAGCCGTTCAAGAAGACCAAGGCACAGCTCGAGACCCTTATCAAGGAGAATGGCGGCCAGGTCTCTCAGCGGGCTGTCCCGCAATCCGGGATGATTCTCTTGGCGGACAAGAACGTCGTCAAGGTCGCGAGTCTGGTCAAGGAAGGCCAAAAGGGCAGCGGCGTCGACGTCATCAGGCCAAAGTGGATTCAAGACTGTCTCGAACAGGCTGATGATTCTCTGCTGCTTCCCTATGAGGAACGACACTTGTTGCATGCGACGGAAGCTTTGAGAACTGTTGCTCTGCAGAACACGGATATGTACGGGGACAGCTACGCCCGCGATATCAGTCTCGTTGAGTTGCGCGAAGTTCTCAATACGATGCCAAAGAAAGAGCCTGACACGGAGCCTTTTAACAAGACGCAATTTCTCAATCAGCTTGAGGAGCGTGGACGCGGGGTAGGCCCGATGAAGGGCTCGATGTTCCACCGTTGCGCCGTTCACTTGGTCAATGTCGAAGAAGGGGATGAGGACGAGATCAAAATGTTAAAGCTTAGGAACTATCTGACTTTTGGCGGCGCACGCTTGATCAGCGATGCCGACGACACGGAAACCACGCATGTGGTCGTGGTAGGGGACGGCACCCGGCGGCAAGATGTGGCCGCTGCTTTGCGAGAGGAAGTCAGTCACAGGCGTAAGATTCCACACATCGTGACTGCGGAATGGATTGTAGATTGCTGGCGAGAGAAGACGTTGCTGGACGAGGAGAAGTATACGCGAGTGTGAGAGGAACGACGGTGGATGAATTGCTTATTATACCCAGGATAAATGACACTTTGGTTTCAACCCCAGCATCCCAAAACCTTTCTATGAGGTGCCATGACCTGTCTATGAGGTGATTTGACATCCAAGGCTAAATGAGCAAGCCAAATCACACCTTCCCCGTAACCCTACCCGTCCCAGGTAGCAGCAAGGCCCCATTTTTGCATCTTATTTTCCAATAGTAAGGAACAACCGATCACCAACATCACCGACACCAGGCTTCAGCATGCCCTTGTCCGTCAACTCGGCATCCACACCAGCAATGTAGATGTCCGTCGCGTCAGCCCACTCGCCCGCGGCGCGCTTGACACCCTCGGCGGCGCCAATGACGGAGAGGACGACAATGCGCTTGACGCCCCACTCGCGGAGGGTCTGGATGGCGGCGGCGCAGGTCCCGCCGGTGGCGATGACGGGGTCGAGGACGATGGCGAGCTCGGAGGCGCCGGCGTTGGAGCCGTCGGGGGAGACGTGGTTGGGGAGGTTGTTATAGTATTCTACGGGCTCGAGGGTCGAGGGTTCGCGGTAGAGGCCTAGGTGGTGGACTGCTACGGGCGTGGGGAGGATGGTTTGGACGGCTGTTGTGAATTTGTTAGATTCGGGCTCAAGTCTGGGCAAGAGGGATCTGATCTTGGAGGGGTATACCTTCTACCATGCCGAGGCCTGATCGCAGAATGGGGACGAGGCAGAGGCTGGAGGGCGAGATTGTGGTTGATGTGAAGTCGAATCCTAGCGGGGTAGAATCCTGGGCGAGGAGTGTCAGTCTTGGTGCTTGATTGTAGCACGAAACACGTTGGAATAAGGGGCAATTACCTTTGATCCATCTGTCGCTTTCGTGGAGGCGCCGAGGGCCTCGTATGCTACCATCAATGCAATATCATTCACCAGCGTCTTCACCTCTTTCGCCGGCGTCGACTGGGACCGCAATTGGGACAGCTTCGCCCGGAGACAGGGGTGCTGGGAGACGTGCACGTTGGCAGGGAGCTCGGGTGTTGAGGAAGACATGGTGTAAATGGGAGGGTATGTAAGAAACGTAGTATGGAATCAAACACGAATACGCTGAAGCATTGAACGGTGACCAGATGAAATAAAGTAAAGGAGGAATCGTCAAATTTAAGCAAAATGAGGTTTGGGAGTTTACCGTCGATATCGACGAGAGAGGTTGGTGGGGAGGCCGGAGCAAGCCACTGAGACCAGCAGGCAGTAGGAGGAGGAGGGGTCCTTCCTTGTCCTCCTGATCAGCGCCGGTACCTTGAGTGGGTCCTGCATGCGGAGGGAAGCTCTGGATAAGATAAGCCCTTGAGGTCCGACGCCCAACGCCCGCCCTTTTTTGGAGCAATTGGGGACTGCCACCAGGTCAACTCCGGCGTCCGGCAAGGCGTTCGGAGGTCGCCGTCATGCATGTTTTAGTTGGAGCCTTCTCATAAGATAGCTGGCAATGCATGGGTGACGAGATATAGGGGATGGAAATTGGCAAGTTATTAGTAACATCTTCCTCTCGACTTGTTGTTCTTAAACTGTCGTCCTGCCTGAAGCTGTTTAGCTCAGGATGTTGGGCCCCTCCTTCCCTCCCTCGCACTGACTTACCTTATCGACGTGGAAAGTCACCACCTCGGTGTACTCCGCCTTTCTCGGTGAGAATGACCCCACCAAGGAGCTTGGGTCGTCGGTGAACGGTGTGAGGTGAGCGAAACCGGGAGTACCGAGATACCCGCCTCTACCGCCAAGACAAGGTTGTCTGGGAATGACGTTCCCGCTACAGCAGGCGTTTTTGTGGCATCTTTTGGTGACGCGACTACTGATCAACCTTCTTTTTTTCGTTGACGATATTGCCGATTATCCGGAATTTCCACGACCCCAGAATCTTTTGGCCTTCGAAAATTAGCGCGATTTAAATGCCGAACAAGACCACGCGAGATCCGGTCATGAATCGAAACGCGCCGACGACGAGATTTAAGGACAGAACTCGCGATGCAAGGCGGAAACGAAATGAGGCACGCCAGCGGTGCTGCTGCGGATGAGAAAGATCTCACACAGATGGGTACTACCAGCGGGCAGGCCCATACAAAGAGCAAGAACATACAACGGGGGCAATCGGTCGGGTACGATGCGCCTGAGGACTATGGCAACCTCGACGAGATGGTGACGGACCCAATCTCTCACGGCGAGAGTAGGCGTCGTGATGGGAGGGGCGAGAGTCTGGAGGAGATGAGATCCACAGGCTACAACGCTTCCAAAGCGCGAGACGAACCCAAGAATACAATCGCCGACGCTGATGTCCACAGTCCCAGCAAGACTCGCACGAGAGAAGGCAAGAGTCTGGAGGGGAGACAGTCGTGCGAGTATGATGCACCAGAAGACTACGGCAACCTCGACGAGATGGTCGCCGACCCCGTCGCGCATAAACCCAGGCGTCATCGTCCGGGGAGAGGCGAGAGCCTAGAGGAGGTGCGATCGCCTCAACGGGCTTCCGACCTCGAGATGCAAGACACAACAACGCCCGACGAGCAAGACGAGCCCGAGACCCCAAACTCGAAACCCACCGCACACGTCTCTAGGTTGGCCACGGAGGTGTATACACTTTCGTATCTCGTCTTTTTCGCCATCTTCGGCACGATTGCCCGTCTGGGCCTGCAGGCTCTGACGCTCTATCCCAGCGCCCCAGTCTCCTTTGGCGTGCTGTGGGCCAACGTCGGCGGCAGCCTGGTCATGGGCTTCCTAATCGAAGACCGCAGGCTTTTCAAGCAGGAATGGGGTACACCCAACTACCACAGAGAAATCACCAAAGCCCGGCGCCGCGGGCAAGATGCAGATGACAGTGGCGCCTCCAGCGACCTCGCGGCCGCGAAGAAGGCGCATCTCGCAACCAAGAAGACTATACCGCTCTACATCGGCCTCTCCACGGGCTTCTGCGGCTCCTTCACCTCATTCTCCTCCTTCATCCGCGACGTCTTCCTCGCCATGGTCAACGATCTCCCCCGCGCCGGCGGAGCGACCCCCGAATTACGGACCGGAGGGCAGTCCTTCATGGCGATGATGGCTATCATCATTGCCACTGTAGCCCTAAGCCTCTCGGCCCTCATCTTTGGTGCCCACCTCGCCATCGCACTCGAAGGGATCACCCCCTCGATCCCTTATCTCCTCGGCCGCAAAGTCATGGACCGCTGCGCCGTCCTCTTCGGCTGGGGCGCTTGGCTCGGCGCAATCCTCCTCGCCATCTGGCCGCCCCACGATGCCTGGCGAGGTCGCGTCATCTTCTCCATCGTGTTTGCGCCGCTTGGCTGCCTTGCGCGCTTCTACGCCAGTTTGCTACTTAATGCGCGGGTGCCGTCGTTTCCGATGGGTACCTTTGCAGTTAACATCGCTGGCGTTGCCGTGCTGGGTATGTGTTGGGATCTGGCGCATGCGGGGCTGGGCGGCGTGGTAGGGTGTCAGGTTTTGCAGGGCGTCGAGGACGGATTCTGCGGGTGCTTGACGACTGTTTCGACGTGGGTTGCTGAGTTGACTGCGCTGCGACGGAGACATGCTTATATTTATGGCCTGGGCAGTGTTGTGGTGGGGTTTGCGATGATGGTCATCATCATGGGTGCTGAGAAGTGGACAGACGGGTTCACGCCTCTGATGTGTACCCATTGAGCTATTACACTGTGTCTAGGCTACTCATAAGCAGTCTTTCCGACTCACGGAAACGCCAGATATAAAGAAGTCGTTGAATATACCTCTAGTGTGTTGCTAAGTGTTGGATCTCAGTATCCCAGGTCTCAATCTGAACAACGGGCTTCCTTGACGGCATTTCATTTACAATCAATGTTATGCCGCTCTTATAATCCATCCCGTACAGCATTTCTGCCTATATCAGCTCATGAACCTGCTCAAGTTTGTGATAGGCGATTTGTTGATGTGGCATGCACGGTCGATGATCCCCAGGCCAGGCCGGGGTGCGATGTTAAGTTCACGAAGGCAAGCACCCTAGCTCGATGGAATACACATGACCCCCACCATCTCCCGCAAAGATCTATGAGGCAGAGAAGTCGGAAGGAAGGTATGAGCACCGTCTGAATGTGTCTATGACCTAGTGGAGGATGGTTTCGCATAGTGGGTCCCGCAAGGGTAGCGAGTTCGAGTACGCTTGTGCTCACAAAAATTGGTGGTCCTATACAATGCCACAGGCAGCTCATATTTTTGTAGTTCTTGCATATATATCAGGCTCTCCAGTCGTTCAGAGGTGTTATGTTACGGCGGATTTCTGTTGAATCGGGCTGTTTGAAACGCCAAGGGATCGTGATGGCGATGCTTCTCGAGAGTAGCTCACCAGATCTGAAGGTCAATTGATATAATGTACAACGACAACGAAGCCCGATGAGGAACTATTCGTTGGAATCTTTTGGAGAACATGTCCTACTAATTGCTGGATAACCCCCTTGACGCCTCTATTGCCATGAGGCCCGCAACCACGCATACCGGAAGTTGAGGCTGCGGATTACACCGAACGGCCCCACATCTGCCGCTTCGTCCGGTGGCCGTGGATACCGGTACACGCCGTAGGATTTTGCAAGCATGCTCAGGCTATTACAACACACTCCTCGGTTCGAGGTGCGACGTATATGCCGGAGTTGAAAGACTTGAACGCGGTCCTTTGGAAAGTTGAGATTGATCGAGTAAGTCCTTCATCCCGGCAAATCTCTCCTATGAAATATGATGGATGACAAAGCAAGGAGGCAACCGATATCTTGGCGTCACGAGAAAGTTTAACTGGCATCGGCTTTCATATCATCTAATGTGCAACACCAAAAACTTGGGAACAGCTTCTCGGATCAATCGACGAGAGAGAGGCAGGACAGACCATGTGTCTAAATGGTTGGCTCTTATCTGCCAAATTTTTCTGCGCTATTTACCCTCCCGGCCGCCAAGCCCATTGGGAAGCATAAGAAGGCGCAGTCCTCGCCCTCGTCTGCCAAGAGCACAACCACTGCCAAGATATTGGAGCATCACCACAACAGCAAGCAGAGTCGTTGACAGCTACACCGTTTGGCTGTGGCGATCGTGAACCGGCTGCGTCGCTACGTCGAGCACAGCCTCCCATCCAAGTTCTACGATGCTCTCCGCCACGCCCAATCATCTTGGATCCCTTCCACGTTGAGACCCAGACTGATTTTGAGCCCAAGCCATATCCATGACCAAGAACCGCGGACCATTCTTTATCGAGAACAGCTTCGAATAAGCTATCGGAGCTTTGCCTCCTTTGCTCGGAGAATCAACAACGACCAAGAGGCGAGGGGCTAAGCCATCCTCTTGGCGCTATAGAAGTCGCTTCCTCCATTCTTTTGATCTCAAAACTCCATATGGCAAGATATTAGAGCTGATAAACGTGTATAAACTGATCTGCTCAGGTCGTTTGAGGCCTTCAGGTATAGTAAACCATTGGTTAGTTGCCCATTAATATGCAGGTACGAGGTACTTATTGACAATCGAAAAGAGTCGTATGTTCAAGATATGTTCCGCATAGACGTTTGTATGACCTTGAGAGTACACGACTAGAGGTATAAGTAAATATGGAGATGCGCGGCCGCTACTGTTACCCCATATTCGTTTGGAAATAGACGCCAAGGTTCTCCAAAAGCACCCTCACTCCATGAACCGAAGAAACCTAGTCCTCGGCTCTTCCTAAGAAAAGCCGATCTCGAGGTCTATGGCCAAGATTTACCACCCATGATGGGCAGCAAGGTAAGTAGTCCATCAATCAGGCCCACGTGGACGAGATGTGCGCTTGCTATTCGACATCTTCGTTTACCTGCGCAAGTGCTCTATCTCGTCGAATATCCTACGTATAATAAACGAGTGGACTGTTTATCGAGGTATTTGAAACAGATATAACATGAGAAACCAAGTTTCTATTGTCCCTGTGTAAGGTGTTTTTGCTCTAACTTGCAACCCAGCAAGTAAAGGCAACCCCCACAGGCTACTCCCTATTCTCATACCATCTGCCTCCTTACCTTTGGACGTCCACTAAAATCCATCTCAAGAAGATTATTTCAACGGAGAAAACTCAGAGCTTACATCCACTAGCAGCCCGTCATGGCTATCCTCAAAGACTTCGTCGAGAGGCTCAAGTCATTCAGCCCACAGGAAAGAAGAGCCATATTTTTCTACATATGCGGTATCATGCTGTACAAATTTGGCCTCGAGGCGTTCAACGGATCCATCACCGCACTAGCCACGAATCGTTACGACTACGAAAGCGACACCAGGGGCACGCCATCTCGCACTTTTGAACGACTCGGCCTCCTCCAGGGACTGAACCAAGCCACACAGTGTGTCGGCTCCATCCTGATTGCACCTCTCATCAAACACTATCCGACGAAGAATGTTCTCTCTGCAGCCATTCTACTCTTTGGCCTGATGACGGCAATTTTGCTCATCCTCGATGCTGCAACGGGTGGTACTTTTGTCCCAGAAGCGTACCGAAAGAAGCACCCCAAAGATGAATGGTCTTACTACGGAGATTACAACAATGACGCTATCATACCCATCTACACGGTCACGGGCATCGCGTACGGCATGGTCGAACTCATTCGCCGCGTCATCCCGCGAGACATCGTCGGAGGCAACGTTCAGAAACTTCGTCAAATGGATAGCTTGGTACACATCTTCTACGAGGTCGCCGGTACATCAGGCGCCTTTGTCACCGCGCTGGTTATGATTCCCAACCTCGGTAACAACCGCTCCTTCGTCATCACCCCAATCTGCTTCTCTCTCGCGGCAATTCTGTGGTTCTTTGTCGTGGACGGCAGCCACGACCGCAATGCCCTCGCGCGAGCTGAAGCCCGCAAAAGCAATTACTTTATCAACATTGGCAAGGGCTTCCTCCTCTTCTTCGAGTCCATATGGGTCGGCGCAAAGATCCTGTTCACGTCGACGAGATTCGTCTGGCTGGTCCCAGCATACGGTGTGGCCCTCTATGGGCACCGATATCTCGAAAATGGCATCGCACCCCAAGTCGCTCGACGATACCTGGGCAACTCGGCATGGTCACAGATCATGGTCGGCGGCTCTAATTTTGGTGAGCTCCTGGGTGCGCTGTTCGTCTTCCTGTTCACGAACGTGATCAAGACGCCCATCCCATGGCTTCGCTTGGATGCCCTGATGTTGCTCATTGTTTGGTACATTCCCTATTGGTATCCGCCCTCGGGCCAGGTCGGCCAAGCCTGGATCGTCGCCGCCACATTCTTGCCAGTCTCGTTTGGTTGGGCCGCGGGAGACGTCTCTTTGGCCGCTTTTATCCAGGCCTCTCTCGCCAGGCTGGAGGACAAGGAGAACAGGGTTTCGCCTCTTGGTGCGGTTATGGCGTTCTTGTATTCATTTTACATCGTCACGTATGCGATTGCCGGTACCTTCCTCGGGAGATACCTCGACGGCGTGTACAACCGAACAGGATCAGTGCGAGAGGCGCTGGTGAATACTGCCGGAGTGCACTTCACTGTCATCATGGTCACGGTTTTTGCATCGACGTTTATTCCAAAGGGTTCTCGGTGTTTCAACCCCGAGATGCTGGATGACACGAAGTTGGACGAGGACATTGAAGAGTGCCCACCGTCACCATCTGACAAGGATATCAAGAGCGATGTTGGGCTGAAAAAGAAGGCGCCCGCAGTCGTCTTTTGATGGTCGAAGGACATGGGATGTTAGTGTTCTGAGAGTGACAAATTCCCGCGGCTTTATTTTGGATTGAGAGAGGGTTATTATTTGATGTCACAGAGACCGAATCAGCTTCTTTGAATGGATTCCTAGAGTGCTACGTTCCACAAATATCCAACTCACTCCAAATAATGTCATCTGCCGTGAATGCAACGTGTTTGTATCCTCGCCCTCATGCAAAAGTTCATAATAAGTTTAGGCACTCATCCATCCAAGATTACAAACCTTGACGGCAAGGAGGATTCTCAACCTACATTACCCTTGAGAACCCAAAACCTCCCGCTTTCGCCTCAGAGGTCGGGCTGAAGGCAGGTAGACTGCTCTACCAAATTACATAAATTGCAATGACGTGGACTGCGGCAAATGTACCCGGCGCTTAGGGAGTTGTCTCATCCTCCAGGGTCTGCTAAGAAACTGAACACGGCTCCACTTACGTCTTTACATCTCTACCATCGCGCTTTCTTATGTGCTCTTGCAGTTCGGCCGTTTTGCCTGAGATTGAGAGTTTTAAATTTCAAAATCGTTTGTAATATTCCGAGTCTCTTCAATGACGGAGTTAAGTCGGCCACTCCGTGACACTATTATCGTCCTGTATCAAAGCGTCTCTCGGCAGGAGGCCTCTACGAAAAGAGGAAAATTTGCGATTTTGCGATGGACCGGCAAGTGAGTGTGGTTCTCTCCTTGGCCATCAAATCAGGGCAAAACCAACCGCCTCCCCAGTACCGACGAAGTTTTACGCGATCGGCAAACCACAACGCCAAAGGTCAAAGGCGCATTAATATGGAGCCCTGAGCTCTTGACGGGCTACCAGGAGCTGGGGAATTGCCACCGAATCTCGGCGCAGGCCAAAACTAAGACAGATGTTTCCCTGCTTGCGAAGCTCGGGACTGAGCCTCGTGGTTGCGGCTGATTCGGTTCCGTGCCCGAACTGTGCGAGAATGACGCAGGGGGTCTAATGATTCGGGGGTTAGGCCATGCAGTCTCTGATTCTTGACCTGTCACTCTGGCAGGTCTCGCGTGGCAAAAAAGACCCTGTGGAGAAGTTTGAGGTCGACTAAGCATATCGAAAAGGGTGATGAACGCTTTGGGCGCCGACCTGACGTGCCTGTCAATTTGCCCACTTGAAGAACAATGTTTCGCTTCAGCTCTCGTAACTGGGTTCTTGCGAATAACGGGCAGGATATCACGAGAGGAAAAAGAAAAGATGGCATACGTCAAAGCGTGCGCAGGCACACAAAAGGGACTAATGTGGCTGTGTCTTCACCGCGTGTTTCGATTGTTTTTTCCCGCGTTCGGATGAGAGGTGAGCAGGATGGAGCGGCAGCGGCAATGGCGATATTTCAAGAATTTGACTGGGGTCCATACTGGATATCATTTGTTGACTGTTCCTCCGGGTCGAGTCCCATCCCGTGGGGTGCCTGAATGATCTACATTCATGGTCCCGTTTCGCAGGCATCTCCCTGCTTCAAATCTCAACCATCCCAACCCCATGTCAGCCAGGCTCTTCGTCATTACGCCTTTTCTGACAGATTGACCAAATAGTCACTTACTTACTGAGCAGTCAACATACTGTTGAGGCATGCAGCCAAGCATCATACGGCGACCACTCGATGGTCGGCGTTCTTCACAGAAGAGGCATGCTCCTTGGCCCGTCCGGGCCCTTCCGGGAAATTGCTTGATGCCGGCTTTGACAGGGATTCAACCCACCCGAGCTCGCCAGCGTGGAGTTAGCGTCTGCTGAAAACTTGAGAGTGACAAGCCTAGTGGAAGAGCTGGGGATGAAGGCTACCACAGATCCTTGCCGGGCCATCATCTCTGGGTCTCACGGCCTGGCTAGCTCCCTAGTGGAGGATCATCTCGAATTCTGGGCCCACTGGCCTGAGCTCTGTAGCTTTGGCATAATGCCACAGAGTTATCATATCTTCAGCACCCAACAGCCCCCCAAGGAATCCCCCAAAGTGAGAAGTGATATCCCACCCTCATTCACTCGGCAGCCCAGGCTGCAATGAAATCTGTAAGTTTCAGTGCTGATTGGAGAAGACGGGAGATATCCCAGATGATCCCGAAGATCCGCCCTCGTTCGCAAGCTTTTCTCGAAGAGGGAATTGAAATCCGCATCTTGCGTGGCATTCCGCGTCGCACCCCCGATCCCGATTCCGAGTTGTATCCGGGGCAAGGACTGTCGTCAGTCGCCGGAACATCTCTGGGCACGGCCTTTCGATCCCGGGGGAACCGCCACAAGTCCCGTGGAATCCCACTTACCGCCAGTACGGATATGGCACGGCTTTCGAGAGATATGAGACGTCTTAGCTAGTTAGTCTAGTTTAAAGATTGATAACGAGCACAGATTCGAGACCGGTCGATACCAAACAGTTATCTACCATGGAACTACCATGGGAATAACAAATCACAGGGGAGGAATTGGGCCTCTAGGGCAGCAAGACACGCGGATCCGCCGGCCGGGCCACCCGTAGGAATGGCGATCCGTCAATCGTCCAAACTCTCTTGACAGCCCCATCAGCAAGTCATACCAAGGGACTGGCGGTAGCCGGCAGAACGGTGAAGCCAGAGAGGCAGCCTTTGGCGGCAAACAGCGGTTTTGGGCGGATCAAAAAAAGCAAAGCTGAGTCCTGGACTGCAGATGATCCCTTCACTAGTTTTTGGTGCTGAACCGAAAACTCGAACGATTCTGTGAGACAGAAGACACTGTGACACTTTTGCATCCTCTCACACTAAGCCCTAATATGAAACTGTGAGAGGAAATGCTTGCTACCCAAGCCCGTAGATCACATCGGCTAGACTAGGGTTTGTGCAGTCCGTATTGGTCACGAGGGATGCAATCACTAGGAACCAAGGGCCAAGATCCTCGAAGCACATCCAGACTGCCCCCGCTTCCAGCTTGGGCCAAACTCTAATGAGTTTCTGTAGGGTACGCTACAAATTACCCCATGCTTCCAGACATCCCCGGTCAACTTCTCGATATCCCATGCAGCGACCCACGACGCTCCCATGCCTTATCAAACGGCACAGAAAACTTGCAATACATTGTTTTCTATCCGTAATGGCGACATCTGAATGCCAGGGCAAGGGAAAGCTTCGTCGCCACTCGTAACAATGGAGCCCCCGCAGATGTCGGGCTGCGTGCCACACCTTCACCGGAATGACGAGAACTGAAATGATCTCCAATGCTTTGCCTTGAGCAGCCCTGGATGTCCAGGGGGTTTTCACTCTAAGCTTGGACCATCTCCTAAGGATCCCACGACGATGCTACACTGCGGCACGACTATTTTGGTCTAGACACTGAAAGGCATCCTGCAAGCCTTGACCGAGGATCTTCCACCTACATAATGAAAGCTTCACGCTAAAAGATGCGATGATGCCCCTTCTCTGAAGTATGGGTGTCAACGGATACGATTCAGCTACTAGGCCGAATCTCCTTCAGACCGCTACCTTCCTGATCTTTTTATTTGACGGTGTCATTTACAGACACACGCCCCCAACCCAAGCTAAAAAGTCACCTTGCCGTTTACGCATCCTTCTGCATCTTCAAATCGCAACTTCTTCAACAAACGACGTACGCTTTGATTCCACTTCCATCATACCGGTGTAGTCTATTATAGGACTCCAGGTTATGGGTTTCGCCAACGCGCGTTTATAACACCCGCTTACATTAGTTCGTTATTAGACGAACCGTCGGAGCCGAAACTCGGAAACAATCACCCCGAAAGAGTTGTCTCTCGCTGTTTAAGTGGGCAGCCAACTCCGCCATCAACAACCAGAGGCATCCATCGCAAAGAAAATGGAAATCACCGAACTTGTCAACAATAAGGAGCGCTTCCGTCGCTTCTACTGCAGTTGGAAGACCTGCGAGAAGGTAATGTCCAGTACTTCCCGGAACCCTGAATGCTATCAGAAGGTTGTCAATCTCTGAAGAGTATCATACTTACTTGCGTATTCCTCCAGGGATTCAACCGCAAGTCGGACCTTATCAGACACTTTCGAATTCATACAAATGAGCGGCCCTATCCTTGCCCAGCACCGGGCTGCGAGAGGAGTTTCATCCAAAGAAGTGCGTTGACTGTACACCTCCGGACACACACTGGAGAGAAGCCATACGAATGCCAGTACCCTGGGTGCTACAAACGGTTTGCAGATGTAAGTAAATACTTCACGTAATTAAGAATGGAAGTTTGACTCTAATGATCTCAAGTCGTCGAGTTTTTCACGCCATCGTCGAGTGCATTTGGGCAAGCGCCCGTATACATGCGCTGTTGAAACCTGCCGAAAAAGGTGCGTAACAATTTTGAACTTACGGAACGACTTGGACTCCAGTTAATAGAGATTCAGTTTCTGTCGCAAGGTGGCTTTGATTCAGCATCAGAAGATCTACCACGACTCGGCGTCTGGGGAGGAATCCGACGCGTCTTTGGAGGAACTCACGAACACTTCGAAAGACGACAGCCCCATGACGAGTCCGATTTCGATGCCAGAACATGTTCACAATGATACAACGAGCCCCACGCAAACGATAGAGGAGCATCAATCTTCCCCTGACTACATGCATCACACAACACGCCCGCTCAATAAACCAAATGAGCCGTTTTACGAGAGCCAAGCCAGTGAGCAATTGGCATTCCCGACCATCCAACCGGAATACGAGTATGAAGAGCCACAGGGCTTCTACCAGGATCCTCTCTACTCAAGCTGCAACGAGGATGTCGTATATCAACGGCCGAATCCCTCTTGGAACTTCTATCCGTCTCCCCAGTACTCACCCTGCGGGTGCAACCCACATCCAGCAACTGTACCTTGGAGTCCAGCGGCTATGACTGGCAACGGAGACGTCGGCAACGGGACTGGATATCTGCTTGCGCAAGATCACGCGCCTTCCATGGCTGGATATCCTCCAGCTATTATACCACGCCATGCCCAGCATGTTCAGGAGGCAGAGTGGCCGAGAGGTCAGATGTGGTACAATGACGGGATGCAAATGTCCCCCGATTTTGGCCCGGTCAGAATGACAGATACATACAGATTCGATTGAAATACGCACCTATTGATCTGCAAGTCAGTCACGAATGGGCTTTGGTCGGTTGTAATAGCATAAGTTGCGCTGCTTTTCACACAGTTGATTTTTATGAGCGAACTATTCCATCTTAGAGCAGAAATCTATCTACATAATATTCGAGAGAGCAACAAAGAAATTAAATAATCATACAAACGACCCGGTATATCTACTTGCGCCTCCATGTAATACAAGAACACAAATTAAACTCGGCTAATCTTGAAGCCGCCTGGAACCCTGTACTGGAAGAACCCCTCGGGGTCATACTCCTCCGCAACTTTTCGGATGTGCTCCACATTGGCTTTTCCATAACTTCCAATTGCATCTTGCCTCGAGTCCGCATAGGGAAGGTATCTGAGCTCAGTGTCGCTACCAACAGACTTCGAGAAGTCTTCAATTCTCTTGTTCGCGGCTGCAACGTGCTGGTAAACCCGAGGGTAGAGCTCCTCACTGTTTGATCCTAGTAGAGTCACTCCCATCACGAAAAGAACTTTGTTTCGCGAGTCTCGCTCGAGTCCGAGCATGTTGCCCCCCTTCTGCACGCCAATGTCGGCAAAGTATGACGGGATTGGCTGGAAATCGAGAATCGTGGTAAAGTTCTTTGGTCCGAGGAGGGCCTTCATATCTGCGACGAGGCCCTCATGCTGTTCGATGCAGTACCGCAGGACTCTTGGATCATTAACTGCGGTCAATGCTCCAGCTCCAGCATTCCTAGGAGACAAATCATTAGCAACTTTCGACCTCACATCAAGATGACTAGACATCTCCTAAATAACTCACCGATTCTTGCCGGACAGTGCGGTACTATTCGCAGCCTCGACAAGGGTTACTGACTTTTCCATAGTCGGAGCTGACGTCGGGATACGGTCGAAGGCATCGAATGCCGTACTATTGGCCTCGTTCATGGTGTTGACCTTGGTCGCCCTCCAGATGCTGTCCTCCTTCTCTGGATCGTAAGTGACGACAAGGAGCACCGCATTGTCATGAAACGACCGGTCCAAATCGGCGAACTTAGCAACCGCATCAACGAGCTCACCGGCGTGTTCTCGGCTAAAGGTCTTGGTCTCCATGTGCAAATTCTCAGCTGGAAACGCCGCGAGATCGAAGCGAGTGACAATGCCAAAGTTGCTGCTGCCTCCCTTCAGCGCCCGCCATAGGTCCGCATTAGCCGACGCGTTGGCGTTGACGATCTCCCCGCTCGCTAGTACCACCTCGTAGTTGACGACACTGTCGCACGCGAAGCCCGTACGCGCCGTGTACCACGAGATACCACCGCCGAGAAGAAGTCCGCCTACGCCCACGCCGGATTCTCTTCCGCCCGTCACCAAGACCCCATACCTTTCTAACGCGGCGTATACAGCAACCCATCGCGCCCCGGTCCCGACGTGTGCGATGTTGGTAGTTGCATCATACGTGGTGGTGTTGAGGTGGGTCAAGTCGATGGTCACACCGTCGACAATGTTGTTCTGATTATCACCACCGTGTCCGCCGCTGCGGATGGCTACATGCCAGTCTCCGGCACCATCACCAGCGGAGTGAAGAGCAGTAAGAGTTTTAGAAACCTCAGCGACAGTGCTCGGAAGAACGAAGCACCAAGGTTGTTTTCGCGTGGAGATAGCGTAAGAGCCGTTCTGAACGAGGGTTTGGTAGAGGGGAGAAAATGGAAAGTGAATGGCGTGGGATAAGTTGGCGGCCACAAGGGCGTCACACTAAACACAGATTAGTTGAAGATGATCGGGATGCTTTACTTGGGAAGGGTTGCGGACTGCAGGGAAGCCAGAGGGGCCCTGGGTGCCGTTGTTCGCTATCATCTGTTGCCCTTGCGCACCGCCAAAGAGCAGCAGCAGTGTGGCAGTCGTAATGCCCGCTGACGGCAGTGATAGGTGAGAAAGCATCATGATGACTTCGAGAGCTTCTGGTATAAGAGGTTTCAATTAAGGTGGAGTGAAGTTTGTTGTGAATTGCATGAAGGCTTTCTTGTACCAACTGACGGGAGGAGTGCTTTATATTCATGATGATCCTATCATTCTTGTGTCAATCCGAAGTTGATATTGCCACCTACAATATCATGAAGGAGGATCATCGTGAGCATGCACAGCCATCTAGCTAGTTGGGTTCTGCGCCCTGGACTGATGAGCTAATAGCTTAAAAGGCCGTGACGACATAATGGCCCAACGAGTAGCCTTAGAAGGAAGACATGTTTGGATGCTTTCGAAATACATCCAAAAGCATTATGTTCAAGTGATGTGTAGAACAGCATTTTTACGCGTAATTTTGCTACTAGCTCACGACTAGCTCTTACTGCCACGTGCATTGAGGTTACAGAGGCTTGAGGCTTTGTGCAGATCAAGGGAACTGAAGACTATTAAAGCTTACGTGCATCATCTAGTCTGCGAGCTAATGTCTAGTTTACTCATCGTAGGCTCTTTCTACGACTATGGTGCTAAGCTAGCCTTCATCAAAGGCTGTAGTACTACAGCGTCTAGGCGCAATCCTTCAGGATCTAAGGACGCTCCACACAAAGCTTGCAAATTTACGCGTATTTCTAGAAGGGCACTTAGTGAGCCATTGCCAATATCAGAAATAAATAGAGAGAGAGAAAGAGATCTTTTTTCATATTTAGCATCGATAGAATTGAGTTGCAGTCATGTCTTCATACAGAAAACTATCTACATGCCCGCAGCATATGTAGGACACGGCACTGGGTTATGGCAAAGCTCAACGAAATACGCGTATTTTTGCGCACTCAATTCAGGGTATGGAGGCGTTTTGCAGAAGCAGTCAAGACCGTTCTCCTCGTCCCGGAACTAAAGGCATAAAAAAAGAGGCAAGAAGAAAAGGATTAATGGAGCTGCTGCGGAGGTTTTAGTAGCTGTGTCGACGTAAGCGGCAGAACAAATTGCCGACATCATCCTCGCAGAAGATATGACCTCATTAAGGATACAGCGTCCTCTCAGAGATAGGATCTCATTGCCTCAGTCCTCCCTTCGCGTCTCAAACGCGTCCCCGATCCTCATAATCTTAAGCCTCTCCCAGTCCAGAAACTGCGCATTATCCTTCCGCAACCTCTCTTCAACCTCCCCAGAGTTGGTCACATCGAAGAACGCTTGCGCCGCCTCTTCGTTCTTGAATCCAATTTCCACCACAGCATCAGGCTCCTCTCCAGTGCTTTTCCCGATGAGAACGGTTGGCTCGTCCTTCGACGACCGCTCAATGTACCGTCTCGAGTGCAGTGAGGGGAAGCGGGAGCCGGTGAGTTCTCGGGTGAGGGGTATGTGTATGTATTCATAATGATCTCTGAACTCGGCGTGTGTAATATCTGTTTTGCGGTATAGGAAGAGGACCAGGCGATAGTCCATTTTGCCGAATTCCTTCTTGGGGGTTGAAGGACGAATCGGCCCAGTGAGGCGGCTTTCAGAGTGGATGTACGGGTGTGACCTATTCGAGGTTGAGCTCCAAGGGCGATGAGTTTCTGTCGAAGACTTAGTAGGCGGGGTGAGAGATGTCTTTCGACGGCTTTGAAAGTTTAAAACAACGTCTATGTCACACAGTACACTCAGGAGTTCAGCTTGTTCTCGGTCCGAACACTGTCAGGTCCGAAGACCCACTGGAGTTTGTCGATGCGCAGCTGAAAAGATAATTTTCGACATCCACGACCACAACTTCCTGGATAATGATTTATATTCTCCTTAATCATCTGTCATTCCAACAGCTTACTTCTGTTTGACGCCTCGTCGAGCTGACAGATATTTGCACCGTGGTCACTGCTCTGCCACGAGTCGCTCGAGCAATAAGCTTTCCAGGCATCCGAGTCAGTGGTCGATGCACAATCCCGACATCGTAGTTCTGCTATCAAACATTTCCGCAACTTTTGAAAAGATTGCATTATAAATACTGCTGAATTTGAATTATTATATGATATGTGAGGTCGTCAGACGACGCTCGATTTATACAAATGGTTGACTGGGACCTGGTACCAAAACTCCGAATCTGGTGACATACAACGCCCATATTAACTTTCCAAGCCCGATCTACTTATACCAATGCCATTACTTTAAAGACAAACCACAAATGTTTAGTTGCGGTTATTCACAGGAGGAACCTCAACAGAAGCAGGCTCGCCCTTCTGGAGATCTTCGGCGACCTTCTTAGCAGCGCCCTTGTTGCCGACGCTGTTGAGCCACTTGTCAAGCTTGTACTGATCGACGGCGCGGAAGCCGTTCACAGCAGGAGGCAGAACCTTGGTGCACTCAGTGAGCTGGTTGATGTTGTTGACGCCTAGAAGGGAGAGACGGATGTATTCACGAGCATAGTCCTGTTGAGCAAGTCATGTTAGCACCTTGCTTTCAGTGCGCAAGTTATGGAAAGGAATTCATCTTACCTCGTTCCAGTGGTTCTGTCCACCAGGGCCAGCAAACTCCTTGAACTCCTTGGCCGTCTCGGGGTGCTGGGAGATGGCAATGTCACTGGGGAACTTGAAGACACGGGGCGGCGAGTTGGAGCTGAGCGTCTCCTTGTAGTAGAGCACGTCCCAGACGCCGGGTGTGCTGTCCTGGGGGTCGCCGGCGCGGGTGGTGTTGACAAAGTTCTGCTGGCTGGTGGTGTGCGCGCCGAGCAGGGCGACGAGGCCGTGCGGACCGATAGTCTTGTCGCGGAAGAGCTGGATGAGCTGGTCGGCGGGCTGGAAGGGGCTCGGGAGGAGGCCGCCGGGGGAGCCGTTGGCGCTGTCCTTGCGGCCGACGTAGGACTTGATGCGCGGGCCGAGTGGGCAGACTACGGTTGCGACGTTTGCGCCCATCTATTTGGTACATTTGGTTAGCATCCATTGAAATAGATTCCGGTGTTGATTCAGCATTGCGAAAACCTACCTGGATGAAGTCACCCATGCCAATGTCCCAGCCCATGCCCTTGTACTTGCCGTACAGCTCCTGGAACTTGACAGCAATCTCCTGCAAACCACGGTTCTCGAAGCGGTCGATCTCGCCGGGGGCAAGCAGGATGCTACCGTCGGCGCCGCCGCCCTGAGACGCCGTAGCCTTGGACCACGTCCCGGCATCGTGGAAGCCGAGGCGGACAGCGGCACGGGCCAGACCTGTGCAGCGGCCCGACTTGCCGGCCATGAACTGGTACATGTCGTCGGCGACGTAGCGCCAGACGCAGCAGGTGTCCTTTTTGCACTTGTCTGAGGTCAGGTCGGGGACTTTGCTGTAGCGGTCATTGGACTCCGGGTCGCCTTTGCCCTGGAGCATCCTCTTGATGTCCTTGCCGACAGGGGTGAGGTCCTTGTCCTTGAGGGTGACAAGGTCGCCGAGGAGCTCGTTGGAGTCGCCGGCGTCGCTCTTGCGGGCCATGATTTCGGCCATTTGCTCGCCCATGCCTGGGTAGGCCATGGTCCCTGGGAGGGAGACCAGGGCCAGGGAGGTGGCTAGGACTGATGTGAGATGCATGATGATGATAATAGTAGTAGTTTATCGACAGAAGCGAATGTGCTGGATTAGAAGATGAATGTAAGTCGAAACAGCGAATGACAATGACACTAACGGTCGTCGGAAAGAAGGGAAAGGGAGAGAGAAGGAAATGACCCGATGAGGAGGAGATCATGTTGGAGATGGAAGCCGGATATCATGGCCTTATATCATCTTCATTCCTTTCTTGGCAGAGAGCCATCCATCACAGCATGGTCTACCAGAACTAGGCTTGTCCAGCTTTCTTCCATGAGGCTCCCGGACGTTTACTCTCTCCAAAAGGAGACTCGTCTTCTTAGCGTGCATGGCTCCTTCGGGACAAGCCCTCTGGTGTCTGAGTCTAAACAGATACCGACAACCTCTAGTCAGATCTCACGACACGAGTAGCTCGATGCCTCGGATCCCGGGTACCTAATGTCAACTCTCCAGAAGCCTGCCTGCTGTGCCAGCTTGGTCCGGTGGCGTGTGATACTCAGCCCTTTGGAAAGAGGATCGAGGGAACAGAAAAGCATGCCACCCCGGACTTGAAGACGGGACAACGAAGGAACAAGAAACACGGTGCCTAGCATCGTTTGGGCCTAGCTTTGGACCCCGGGCAGCCCATCAGTGATCACCACCGCACCGTCCGCCGGCATCAGCAGATATTTCTCGATAATCATTCGCCGAAAAGGCCGGACGGTCTGACGGCCCATGGGAGGGAACCAGAGGTCTGGAATAAGGGCACCCATGCACCGGAGCTGTAATGCACGCTAAGCCGGCTCTAACAATAGACTCACATACATGTGGCATATGGGAAATGCATCTACAGATGCGGTGCGCCCCACCCCGAGGTGTAAGTCCGTGGTCCCCGCGTCCACCGGCCGTGTCACGGTGCGCAGACTCGCCGGTGACAGGGGTTGATTCTTCGTATTGCATGCCACTAGGCATAATGGGAAACGCCATGCCAAGAGCGACGGCGGGGGATTGGACGGTGAGCGTTTAAGCTTCTTGCGTTGGTATACGGCGCCAAAACAAAAGAGACAGAGCTAGATCGCCAGGGCAAAGGGGACCCTTCCTTGTACTGCGTGCTCTGGAAGAGCTAAGAGAAAGGAAGAAACAAGCTTGAAGAGAAAGAATGTTGTTTGTGAAAGCCGTCAGACCATGGCAGAAACAAGCCAGACACGACAGTTGGACAGACAGACCCGAGAGGCCGTTGCCTAGGCTGCGATGGGCGGTGCGTCGCGACTCGCGTGGCGCCGTCCGCTGGGCCAAGATCAACAGCTTGTTGGACTTTGTTCCCCAAGGCCGCTCGGTGTCGTCGTCTCGCTCTCGCCCATTCATGCATTCTCTTTTTCCGCTTGACGCTATTGAGCGCCGCAAATGCGCTGGCAGGTTCTGTCTGCAGTTCCTTCATTCTTACCTTTACCTTTCTCCTGATTGGGATGTGGGCCCTGAAGAGGCGATATCCGATGTTGGTTGGTGGACCGACCGCTCGGATGAAAATGTCAGTTCTGCACATATACGAGCATCTGCAAGTCGCCCATCGCTATATGCTGAATACCCCTCTCTCTCTCCCTCACTGACTGGGTGAGAGAGATTGAGCACTGAGCAGATTGAGGCGCCTGAGAGTCTGTGTTTCTTCCCTTCTCGCCCGAGTTGTTGGCCTGGTGCGACCCGCGCCACGAGGGAATCGCAGCCTACCTCCAACGCACCCAGCGCAGAAGCTTCCGTATCACGGTGCCCTATGCTTGTTCAACCTCTGCTGCGGTCCTGCGAAGGATCAAGCACGACTTCGGACGAGCCTCCATGCCTCCATATCGCGAGCCTTGTTGACGCAGGTACCGCTGCTGGCCCAACGTTAGCTTGTTTGACTTGCGTTCGTTTCTATGCCGACCCGGTCTCGAGTCTTTCTGTACTTCAACCCAACCAGGGACGAGAGAGAGCTGTCTTCTTTCGGAAGGATTCGTTTACGAGGGGACTCTCAAACGCCGTAGCGATGAAAGTCGACATTCATGCGAACCATGGGATCCAGGGTTGTTCGGATGGATGAAGTCTGGCCAGGTTCGTCAGAAGACATGGGAGGAGGGGAAAGAAATGTGAGAGTCCCAATCGGGCTTGACCTATTTTCAGCTGTGGCGCACGGCAATCCAGCCGCACCGTTTCCTGCTGACTTTGCCTTCACCTTATTACCTAAGGTCAGAGAAGGTCACTCACTCATCTTGAGTCGCCGCCCTCTTCTGGACTCATTCGCTCACGTCTTCTCTTTCGTCTTCAGCCTACGGAGTGAGATAAGCTTACTTTTTTGACCCCAAGAATTAATCCTGCAGAGTGCTGCATATACTGAGATGCGCTGGGAATCTAGCTATTGGGACGCGTTGGCTTGGCTGCAGACGCAGCTCGAGATGCTGTGTCGCCGAATCATGAAGACCTACTAAGCCCCCCTTTTCTCACTGCCAAGCCTGCTACTATTGATCTTGCTAACTCGTTAGAGAGAATGAGTTCAGCTGTCTGAAAGTCTCTTGACAGACAGTTGGCAATTGGGAGACCAAAGGCAAAATCTTTTACGAATGGTGAGAGGGAAGTTTCGGGTCACATTAGACTTCTAGACTTAGAGACCTTCTTCTGGGTCGCATTCGTCGGCATTTGGAGAATGAAGCAAAGACACCCTTAACCCCAGCGTCGATCCCAGGCAAGTTGCATCCTTCTTTTACCCAACCCATGAAGCTAGGCTGCATTTGGTCAATGCAAAGTAGGTGAGTTACAGGTGACGGTCAGCATCGGTGTCAGGAGCCAAGCACGCCGGGCCATACATGCAATCTTGGGTTGGCAGCTTTCAGGTCAGGTCAGGACATAGTCATATTATCCTATTCGTACTGTTATTGACACATAGAAAAAAAAAGAGCTGCTCAGTCTAGCCAAGTACAAACAAGGGGGGGTTGACCAATGAGTTGGAGCCCCCCATGCAAATAATTTTTCATTACCAACCAAAAACTTTTCCTTTTTTTCGATTCGATGACATATCCGGGAATCTTCAGCTTTCTTCACTCCTCATCGTCCTCCTCAGC